GAGAGAGAGAGAGAGAGAGAGAGAGAGAGAGAGAGAGAGAAAGTCTGAAAATAAACACTATAAACGCATTAGTGTATGCTTCGGTATCACTATATCATTTGCCTTTAAGTTAACAAACATTTTTTATCTTCCATATACCTCCAGGTTGACAGATCAGTACGATTGTACATCGACGGCCAGTTCAAGGCAGTTCTGACCGGCATCCCCATCCTAAGCCCGACAACCAAGCTGATACTGACCACCTGGAACAAGCATGACCAGATTCCCGAGCTGGTGGACCCGTTTGAACCACCAACGACTACATCCTCATTCCGATCTGTTAGGTACATCACATGCTTTTTAATTACTTTCAATTGACTTGTTACAAGTGTCGGTCTGCCAAAGTGCCTAATTCAGTAAGCAGTGTATGGTAATCACAGAGCTTACCTACCTACCGAGTCCCTTGACCTCATGGTCGTTTACCGAAGGAAAACATATTGTTTTTGCTCATTTTCCTCTTCTTCCTGTTGTTCTGCCATGGTAACTGGTGTTGGGTTACATCATGTTGCAACTTTATAGCAGGAGGGATTTAGACTCCTGTCTGACCATATATATGAACGTGTTTGAAAAAGAGTTAACAGAGCAGACCATGTACGAAGGTAAACATTATGCATTTGCTTTGCAAATGTTTCCTTCCTAGTTACACACTTATTTTGTCGAAAACTCATCAGAATGCCCTCTGTCCCCAGCCTCCCACCAGAAGCCTCCAGCCTGTGTCTACAGGGGAGACCGTTCCGGAATAGTGACCATGCGGTGGTGCGGTTCGAGGCCGGTGTCGGGTCAGCCAAACTGCTGGACGATGTTGCACCATTCAGAGAGGTAAAGTGTTCAAACATACTACTGGGTGCAAAACAGTAGTATCTCGTGCGATCGTGTGGCGTAATGGTACAGTACAGTATTTGTACCAGAACTACGAATTCTGCCATATTGGTTTCTGTTTGTGCCATTGTGCAAATAGAACACTAATATGGCAGCGGATGTGCATGTTTAACGATGACATGAAATAATATACATGTGATATATTATAAACAATACTGCTTTATGTTCAAGAGTGCTAATAATGTAATATCTCAGCTGTATTTTGTTCTTTAACAACTATTTTGTCAACTATTCTCCAGGTCTCTAAGCCATGTATCCCATGCTCTGCGCGGTGCGATGTGCTGGGTTGTGATCCTGACTGTGACGAGGACCAGACATACGTACACCAGATCCACCTCACAGGACTAAACCTGCCGCCGCTGGTATCTGTACCAGACTCCAACACTACCATACAGGCTGTGTACTACCTCACTGTCAGGGCAGTGGCTGGTAGGTTATTGTACAACAATGTTGTTGTGCTTTTATCAAGCATTGACATCACTGTTCTGCATTATGTGAAGTAGCTACACATAATACGGAACAGTGTACTTAACCTTTGAGCAACTGGTAGGTGGGTAGAGGTTTTACATATTTATTACAACAATATCAGTAAAGTAATTTCAAAGAAAAGTTAGTTTAGACTTTAGAAGATAAGAAGTGTGCTGGTCAAAAGGACTGCTAGTAATTATATTCATAATGGCAAAAAATGACTAAGTATACAGTATATAGAACATTATACTTGGCAGATCAAACCTGTTCCAGTACATGTATCTCAAGCTCGTGCATTGCAGGGGCTGTACAGTTGCCATTTGAAAGACCAAAATTGAATGGTGCATATTGTTCAGGACTTTTGCTACCGACATACACTCAAGGAATTTCTTCTTAAAACAGGAAACAGGAACATAGGAAACATGTCACTTACCCCCATGATATTACCTCTAGGTTCTGGCAGGGCAGCCATTGCGTCATCCAACGGAATCTACATCGACACGACCCCGCCGGTCATCGAGAACCTCTTCCACGTGGATCTGTCCTGGTCACCGGATGAGCCCACTCGCTACCAGGGGGACAACAGCACCATTGCTGTGTACTGGGAAGCCTATGACAAAGAGAGCGAGGTACGATAAACTATTTACACTGTACCAAACCACACTATACCAACTATACTATACTATTATCATGAAAGTTCATCTGTGTTGGTAGTAATCATAGTAAAAAGTTGAACTTTATTCCACAGTTTACAAACACAGTTTACAAATACATTGTAGATCAAATTTTCAGCGACCACTGTCGCCTTCATCAGGATAATTAATGACCAACCACCTCACAACAGGTTAAACTATACTATACCATGTTAGACGATACTTTACCATGATAACATAACATATAAAACCATACCTTAGCCTTAGTTCCTCCAGTGCATAGCACATTGGGTAGCAAGTTTCCTCCACTCTGTTCTTTGGCCAGATTCTCAGCAACCGCCAGTGGCACTCCTCTATACCAAACAATACAAAATAGCATCTTTCACCAATCCACACACTCATATAGAACAATGTCATCAATTTGCACATACCCCATGAAATATAAATCCCAACTATACATCCTCTAAGCAAACCGGACAGGCATTTTTTCAAATGCTGAAGATCCTGTTTTTTCTTACATGCTAAATGCTCAGTACCAATGAAAACGTGTTTGTATTACAAATGCCTTTCACAGGTAGTGGAGTGCCAATGGGCAGTTGGCACAAGCCCAGGACAAACGGACGTCCAAAACTTCACATCAGTCGGACCAGATCAGAACTTAGTCTACAACAGCAGGTTAGAGGGAAAGCTTAGCAACAGACAGACTTATTATGTCACCGTGAGACTGGTCAACGGTGCTGGTCTGGTCAGCGAGAAAACTACAACTGGTCAGTAATAACAAGTTTGAATGATTTTCCCATTTCTGGCATTTTTTGTTTGTACTGGTATCTTATAGGTTGGGAAAGTTTAGTGAGATATGTAAGAAAAATTTGCACTAAACTGGTTCTGATTATGAAATTCATAAAGTTGATAAGGCACAGCATTCATCAAGTTATCCAATAACAGTTTCTTTCTTAACATATTTCTTTAAAGACTTACCGTTTCCTGCAAACAGTACTAAGCACTGGGGACATATCTTTCTTTTGGAACTTACCTTGACCTATTGCCCATCCTCTTGGATTGTCCAGAAACCAAGTCCCTCTACATGTGGCCATCCTGGACCACTCTCTGTAGCTCCTCAGTATGATCTGCTGTCCTTGCACCATGTTCTACATTAAAAAGAGAAAGAAAGATCATATTAAATGACTTAAATGATCTCATACCCGTGTTGTACAGGAGTGACAGTGTTGCTCGACCCTCCCAACACCAGTAGCAGTAACATCACCACATCCTGTGAACACACTGTGGAGACAAACTCCACATTGGGAGGTGTGGACCTGTGTGGGGATCAGGAGAAGATTGACATCGCCTGGACCAGGGTGGAGGACGACTCTGTCAATAATTATGGTAAGCTTCTTTCTTTACTACGCCTAGATAGACTTCAGTGTAAATCTTTCAAAACTTGATTCTGTCCATTTCTTCATCAATCCAAAGTGGATGTTTCTCTTCTACGATTAGATCATCGAGACATGATTCAGAATTTTTTTAAATTAATTGGTTGTAACAGCGCAGCTGTAAGAACAGGAACATTATCTTAAAACTTAAATTCTATTCGTTTTCCATGAAAGAAATACCTTGGGTGCCATCTGTTAAATGGACCTCCTTGCACTTGCTCCCCCCCGCCAATAAACGGATGGTTCCCAGGTTATCAAAGAAAGCTAGGGAGCTAGTCATTAAGGAGCTAAAAATGCCTGTCACCAAGTGTACTAGATATACATGTACATATTACATAATACTCCTGCAGTGTTCAGTGTGGGGACATCAGCAGACAGCCCCGGTGACATCATCCCGCAGACACAGGTGGGGTATAACGAGTCGGGCTGGGTACAGGTCATCCGGGGTGAGCTGGTGTTTGGGCGGTCAAAGGTCAACATTTCCGACCTGCGCAGTCGTGAAGACGGGCCAAGTGTCAAAACACATCATAAGTTCCATGTGGAACCTGGAAGGTAAAATAACTTTTGTTTGTTACCTCCTTTCTTCCTTCTATTTTTGAAGGTACCTTTGACACATTTATAGACAACACTGTCATATTGAAATTTGTTTTCTTGTACAACATATATGCATTTGGTTCTGATGTGAATTAGCAAAATACTTCAGGCTCAATGATGTACATCTGCTTTTGCTAACAAAAGACATCTAATCTTATTTGTGCCCCTTTTCAGGACACTGTTCACAAAACTGACTGCTTGTCATGCCGGACATAAGTGTGCAGACATTGCCGTGAAGAAACGAACAATACTGAGTAAGTGCAAAAATGTACTAAAAAAAGACATTTTAAACTAAACGTTCCCAAAAACAGCATCTGTATAACTTGATATCAATATATCTTGAAGGCCTGCTTATATTACGTGTTGTTTCTTGTTTGTTTGTTTGTTTCTTTGTTTTACTGACTACTTCTTTGTAACATATCAGGATCCCAAGACAAGATGCTGACTTTCAACAATGGCTCTACTGATGACATAGAATTGGACGATGGGAACGAGTCTGAGAACTCAACAGTTATCATAGCAAAATCTCAAGGTAACTTTTTTTCAGTACTTTCACAGAACACTATCATTAATACTGTTTACTGGCCTGTGTGTATAAAGCAGAGAGTCTCGGAACAGACTACTTAATGTACATAGAAATATCATGTCAATAACCAGAAACTGGACAAGCATCTTAGTTTGTAGTTTCCAATTACCAGAGCTTCACTAGTAAAACCAAAAAACACACATGGGAGTGATACTGGAGTAGCTGGAGTAGATGGACGTGGTTGTTGTGATATACAGTCGATAAGCAATCCCATGAGAGATCCGTGCTGACAATGTTACACTTTCCAACAGGTGAAGACAGCAGTGTCGTCAAGCCAGGAGCTGTTGGAGCTGGCATCCTGACTGACAATGATGTTTCTATGACGTACACTTCTGACAGACCTTTCATCTCCAACCCTGCATTTACAATACACCAGACGGACAGATTCCTTAAAAACAGGTACATTTTGTGGTGCAATGTTGTTGAGAAGTAATGTAGAAGTAGTTGTAGTGTTGCTTTAGCATATTGTATTATTATGTTGTAGCATGCCAGCAAGTGAAGCAAGCTACATGTAACAAGCAGGTTGTTTTTAACTACTAGTGTGTGTAGATGATGTTCAGCACCAAGGACAAGCATGTTTACCTGTGTGTGGATGGTGTTCAGCACAAAGGACAGATGTGTTTGCCTGTGTGGATAGTGTTCAGCACCAAGGACAGGAATGTTTGCCTGTGTGTGGATGGTGTTCAGCACCAAGGACAGGAATGTTTGCCTGTGTGTGGATGGTGTTCAGCACCAAGGACAGGTGTGTTTACCTGTGTGTGGATGGTGTTTAGGACCAAGGACAGAGATGTTTTCGTATGCGTGGATGGTGTTCAGTACCAAGGACAGGTTTTACATCTTTTATCAATGATTGCTAATCATGAGATGACATTGACCAATATAGACTCAAGCTATGTATCAATGTATGCAATACAGGGTTAGGAAAGAGTACGGTCAATCGTTCTTCGTGTCATCTATCGGAGGTGACGAGGTTGACGCGCCGTTAACAGTCACCGCAACTTTCGACGACTCTGCGCTACTGAGGAATGAAATACCAAGGGTGGTGTTCTGGGACCCAGGTAACTACCTTCTTTGTAGATTTCAAGTCTAAAATATGTTGAAACATGCAAATTTGATTTTCCATAAAAGTTTAGCTGTGTTGCGAAAAGACTTTGTTGTAGAAAGTTTTAAAGATGACTGCATGGTCCAAGGAACTAGTCAGATGTCTAAAATCTAATTTCATTTTTTTTCTCAAAACAATTTTCCAACATAATTGGTGAATTCACTTTTCGTGTGATGCCTTTACATTGCTTTTGAAATACGAACAGTATCCTGTTGTTCCGATAATGTAATTACATATAACTCACCACTTTGCCTGTTGAGGTTATTACATATGTATGATACAGTATCTCACCCTACTGTTGTACACAGAGTCTGAAATATGGAGAGATGTCCAAGGAACCTGTACTGACGGTTCTGGAGCAGTGGATTACAACCAGCAAGAGGGGCCGTTCACAGTAAAGGTAATCAATGCATGGCAGTATTGAGAATCTATCCAACACTTGTAGGTAAGTAAAACGCCATTCCATTGATCTTGAGCCCTTTCCCAAGGGCTCAAGATCAATGGAATGGCAGGATTCGAACTCTGGACCTCTTGCTTCCGAGCTGAATGCTTTGTCATAACCCAATGACACGCCTTAACAATGCCTTCTTGTATTTGTAAAATCAAATGTTGCAAAATTTCTTTCCCCCTCAGCTTTGCTCTACCACAGCAGCACAAGGCCATCGCAGACGCCGAAGCGTTCAGCGTTACTTCTCAGGCACGTCACAGCTCGCTGTCGTCATCATTAACGGCACCTTCCAGAATGAACCGCCCGTCCTGCTGTCTCCACTCCGCATGTCCATGGGAGAGGATGAGGGAACTCTGATTACTCGACTCATTGCCAAAGACCCAGAGGATGATGACCTAGTCTTCATGCTGAATGACCAACTGGTAATCTTTCAAAATCATACTGTTTTCAGTCCATCTTATTTCATTCAACTTAGGACAGGACTTCCTATTATGTTCTTTAGTGCTTGCTAAATGGGAGATGTAGCAAAAAAGACTACATCAGTGTATTCAACTTTTTGTTGAAAAACGTTGCGTACTCAGTAAGCAGATTCATTGTTCTCCTTACTTAAAGTATACATTTGTTTGACTCAAAGCATATTTCATTTGACTATTCTCAGCAGGACTTCGGAGATCTTGTCGAGCTGGACGAACAAGGCATGCTGCGGTACAAACCAGCCCTGGACTTCTCCGGCTCCAGAGAGATCCCTATAACCATCTCCGAGTCTCGCACAGATGGCAACCCCCTCCTTTCAACCAATGTGACCATCATCATTGACGTTGGAGAAGAAAACGACACTCCTCAGCCGTTTGTGGTCCATGAGGGAGAGGAGAAGCTACAGGGAGCAGGCATCCTCCATCTGGCTGTGGAAGAAAACCATCCTGACAACGTCGACTTCGAGGTGTTGAGGTTCGTGGCAGGATCTTTTGACGTTGACGCCCAAGATACAATGACACTGCACATCAAGGCACCTTCTAACGGCACGATTGTGGTCGGCAAGCACGTTAAGAATATCGCGTTCAAAGAAGCAAACTGTGCATTGTCTGTGGAAGTAAAGAGAAGGGAATGGGTAGATGTGTTCAACAAGTCCTGGGCGGGCCCTGCCATCCCCTACCCGTGTGAGATAGCACTCCCGCACTCTGCTGACACCATGAACTGGGCAGTTGCAGCGATAACGTACACCCCAAACCAACACTTCTTTGGGGAGGACGCAGTAAAGATATATGCCGAAGATGCGTCGGGAGCGAGGTCCAAACTGGTGACTGTGGTTATCCACGTCATGGAAAACCGTTGCCTGAACGGTGGAAGGTGCGTTGGACCCCAGAGCGATCCTGATTGTGAAGACCAAGCTCGCAGTGACGGTTTCGACGACTACACATGCAACTGCACGGTGGGGTTTGAGGGAAGGTGTGTTTGTTTGTTTGCTTGTTTGTTTGTTTATTTTTCTAATAAGGAACCTCCAATTAGTGACAGCACAACACTAGGTTTTGGACATTAAAATGCAAGTTGTCATTTAGCATCAATTGATAACATCAACTAAGTAGATCAGCTTCCTAGAAGAAATAGAGCCGTCATTTCTTTAGAACTGTTAGATAATGTTAGCATCACCAACTACATGTAATGTAACTTATTAATTAAAGGCCATACGTTGTACCCGTTACTTTGTTATGCACTTAAGTTTTTTTTTCTTCATGAATAACAAGGTACTGCGAGATCAACCCCAATGACTGCGTTCCCAATCCGTGCCCAAAGAACTACACCTGCATCGACCAAGTCAACAGTTATGTCTGCCACTGTGAACCGGGCTGGCCCTGTGATGGCCTGACGGTTTGGGAAATCGTGGGCATCACAGTCGGCTGTCTGGTGGCCCTGATCATCCTCATTGTCATCTTCAAGGTGTGGAAGAAGAGAAAGGACGAAGCACTTAAAGTCAGTCAGAGCCCGTAAGTATATCTACCTCATCTATCAGTATAGACTGGGAAAAAAACAGTACCTTAAACAAGCTATAGTGATCAGCACCAAAGTGGAAGCAAGTAAGTACAGTTAGTAGTGCATTAATGCTGCCAGCCTGACTAAGACGCTATGAGCGGACGACAATATCTACCCTTCCTTTCTCCCTTAACCATCTTACTGTGGATGTGCTGCATCAGTTGTATCAGTTTTACCCATTCCTGTAGCTCTTCAGGTATTATCTTTCGTGCAAGGTATTACAAGTGTACACTTGTTTGTGACAATCTGTGTCCAGTGGCTTCAACCTATTAGTATGAATTTAACCAATTTTGAGGCATAACTTTGCTAGCTCCATTTGCCTGTCAGTTTACATTTTTACAAGTCAGAGGACAAAAGATGACAACGATGAAAATTCCCTTCAAAATTCCAGGACAGGAAGCCAGGATTCACTTCATTGTTTGAACAAGCCAGGTGGGTTAGTGGCGCTGCCTGACGCTCACCATAATCAGTCAGTCTACAGGTTAAAATCAGAAGCCTACAATGCTAAAAGATGCCCAAAAATGATGTGTAATGACAAAAAAAATCTCCTGTAACTTCCAGGACAGGAAGCCAGGATTCTCTTCATCTTGGTGGGTTAGTGACACCACCTGACGCGATCCTGAACCCAGCGTATGAGACCATGAACGTTGCTGACGGACGGATGAACTTCAACAACGTCAAGAAGGTCTGGCAGCAGGTAGAGGAGGTGCAGTTCCGTCACGTGGTAAGTTCTCAGGAAATTTCATGGAGTCCAGCCTTGTTATAATTAGCATTGTTGGCGGGGTAGCGGATCTTGCAATTGGGGAGCGGACTAAAGCTGACGAGGTTGGACTACAGGCTAATTACATGCATGCTTCTTTGTTTGCTGGTTGGTTGGTCGGTTGGTTTGCTTGTTTTATTAAGATTTCTAGTAGTGTAAATTTCACAAGTTGTTCTTCCTGGAGTCCATGGTGAGTCACTAGATATTTCTATCCAACTACATATAGTTTTTGGACTATCGGGCATTGCACACCGTTGCATGTGCCTACTCGTCTGTGACCGTGGCTGCAATGTAATTTACACGCAGGATGTTGGCAGGTTATTATAAAAGGCTTGCTTAATTGTTTCCGTCCACCATACATTTTCAAATATGTTCCACATCGCATGATATTTCTTGGACATACTGTACTATAGAAAGTTAGAAATAATTTAAGTCAAAGGCCATTAATACTGTTACTTCAACCCTTGTGTTGCAGGAACTTCAGGATGAAGCACGTGCTCCTGTGAACAAGAAGCTGGAGCCGCAACTGGTGCTCCCCCCAGCGAAAGTCAGTCAGAGCCCGTAAGTATAGGTGGACACAGCACGTCGGCAGAACGTACTGCACCTGCGCGAAACCCGTAATGTATTGTACATAGCATTTCGGCAGAATGTCTCATATAAGGTTGTATTCGCTCATATAAGGTTAGCATTTCGACAGTAGTTTCCAAATGTCATGTCGGAAAGAATATCCTCTGCAACAGGCAAAATTCTGATGCAACGTTGACCAAAAACCCAACGAAAAACGCGAAAATACGGGGTTCTGCGCAGGCGCAGTACGTTCTGCCGACGTGCTGGTGGACACTGACCCCATTGTTGGATGACAATGATGTATTTACCCCTTTTAATTAGCTTCAGGTCTCTTAACCTTATAAATCTCTTTCATGCTTTCATGATAGAGTGGTATATCTGAGTTGTATTCATTCTTTTAGCTCTTCTAGCTACCCTTTGGTACAAGCTACTGCGCTTGTTTGTAACAATCTATGTTCAGTGGCACATGGCTTCAACTGAAGTAAGTGAGGCATAAAGCTCACTATTACAGATTTGTCAGAAGTCTACAAAGGTACAAGGCAAGGAGATTCCCAAAAATGATGTGTGATGACAAAGAAAATCCGCTTTAAATTCCAGGACTGGAAGCCAGGATTCACTTCATCATTTGACCACGTCCCTTGGTGGGTTAGCAATACCGCCTAACGCGATCCTGAACCCGGCGTATGAAACCATGAACTACACGGACGGACAGAAGAACTTTGACAACGTGAGGAGGGTGTGGGAGGATGAGGTGGAGGAGGTGGAGTTCCGTCCTGTGGTAAATTCCCATTGCATGTTTGCTTGTTTGTTTGCTGGTTGGTTGGTCGGTTGGTTTGTTTTATTAAGATTTCCAGTAGTCACAAGTTATTCTTCCTGGAGTCCATAGTGAATCACTAGTATTTTGACTGACTGCAATGTACTATAATTTACATGTAACATGTTGATAGTTAACAGGCTAAAGAGTCTTGCTTAATTGTTTCGGTCCATATTACATTTTTCAAATATGTTCCACATCGCATGATATTTCCTGGATATACTATACTATAAAAGTAAGAAATAGTTTGAGTCAAAGGCCATTAATAATGTTACTCTCCGACCCTTGTGTTGCAGGATCTTGAGAATGAAGCACCTGTGAACAAGAAGTTTGAGCCACAACTGGTGCTCCCCCCAGCGGCTACAGGCAGAACTGCACCCGATGCCTCGGGAGAGTTCATCAGCCTGCCTGGAACACCTGAATACTAAGTAGCACCTGAGCGCAAAACGGACCCCTGATGATGACATTTCTGTACTTTTGTCAAATGATGCATGATGCATATATGTGTAGTATGTATAGTTGGCTCGTAGTTTTGATTCAGTGATTTTGTTTTCAATTAGAAAGTTTGGGACACATAATTCCGATAAGCAGCAAAGAAGATGCTAAATATTGCCGTAATGTGCTTTCGTATCAGCATTCTATAGTATAGCCAACATAATTTGATGTGTATGGCAATTTTCTTGCTTCTAGACTTATCCGAAATCATAAAATATGTACTAGCTTAAATTGGAAAGCACTTACCCACTAGCTGATTAGATGGCTTAAACATTAAGCTTTAATAAGTTACCCAAGAGATTTATATTAAGCTAAGACCTGGCAAAGAAACAGCTCATGTAATGATCTCTATCATATCTACTTCAGACACAACACTGATAAGCAACATCAGCAGTAAAAATAGTACTTAGTACATCTGTGATAAGATACAAGCTCTTAAGAATCTTCATAAACTGGCATTGTGGTGTTTCATTTTCAGGCTGTGGGTGTTACAATAATTCAATTCTGAATAAATCACTCTTGCTTTGGTGTGTCTGCATCTGATAACACAGTATGATGGTCTTTTTTTTTTCAACTACAACTTACAAGAAAACCTACATCATAGTAGTACTAGTACATGTCACAATATAATTAAACGTCTATGAAGGTTAGGCATCCAGGTACACAAGAAAACAGTTACTCAAGCAAATGGAAAACTGATAACTGTCAGACATTTGAAGTAACATCCATGAAGGTGATATATGACAGTGCATTCTCAATGTAATATATGACATTCAGACATTGCTTATGTATAATATTACTAGTAGTTGATGTGCTAGTAGCATCTTATCAGTGCTCATGCATACACACACCTGAATTTAAGTGTTGAGTTAAGTAGGCTGACACTCACCTTGAGCATGGAAACACTTCGATGGACGGTTGACGTCACAACCCAGGCGGTTACGTCACTTATTCTGTTTAGAAAACTGCCCCCCCTCAGCATCTGCTTGGAGCTGTGTGTAGTTTCCTCAACGTCACCAACTTTCAACGACAACAACGATTAAAAGAACGTCAGCAAACTGGAGATCCAACACATTGACGCCCTAAAATACAGGCAAACCTTTGGATTAATACGAAGTCGCCATATTCTGTGCGAACAACTTGTAAATTATCTCGAACTAGGAGATACAGTAGACCTTTATTTAATTTTTGGACAGGACCAGAGGACCGTTATATTTTCGATACTATAAGCCATTTATTTACAGACAAAACTGTCTACGATATGAGCTAGCTTTGTAATGTTACTGTTACACCTTACCTTAGAGTTTAGGTCCTCCTTTGCCTGCTGTTTTGTAGCATTTCGGGCGTCGTTTTTGTTTACAAAGTTGCAAAATTTAAACTTCCCGCCATTTTGAACTGACCTTTAAACTTGCGTCATCGACATCTCGGAGCTATCAAGTCTCGCGAGAGCAAGTATCCAATCAGGGCTAGTTTAACAAGGACCGATGGCCAGCAACCAATCACGGAGCATTTTACAACGGTGATCCTCAGTCCATTTTAGCGGGAACTGAGAAAGACATGAAAATTGTTTCTGGCATGTCGTACTTCTGATTTATTCGTAAATTTTAAGTTTATTCTTTCCCAAAAAAGCACAGGAGTGTTGTGATACTTAAGTAAACAATTCTGCCAGCAGTAACCTTCGTTGGAGCCAAGAAAAAGCGTTCTGAGGTCGTTTTAAACGACTCGTTCTTCGCCAGGAAAAGGAGGGAAATTTGAGGAGGGAAATAATTTTTGTGCGGACGAAATGGCGAAGGTTCAGGTGAACAACGTGGTGGTTCTGGACAACCCCTCCCCCTTCTTCAACCCCTTCCAGTTCGAGATCACCTTCGAGTGTATAGACGACCTTCCAGACGGTGAGAAATAAATTATCACTTCTGCTTTTACTTCTCGTTTATATCGGAAATACATGAGGATGTACTCTCTTTGTTGTGTGCCCCCCTCCCCCGTAATGTTTCCTTGGCCAGAGATATCATAAATTCGTGGTCAAATCATCATGTGAAGAAATATCACCGAAATGTTTAAACCTAGTGTTGGAATTGCTCTCGCTGATTTTTCACACATCACTGAGTAAAAGACAGAAGTACTAGTACTACTACAGATGTGGTAGACTTAATAAATTGTATATCTGAAACAAATTATGGCATACCTATAACTTGTATAACGTTATGTAGCTGCCGTTATGTAACGTTACATGTACATGTAACATTAGTACTAATATTGGAGACACTTTGAGTGACAACATAGGTCCACCACTACTCGTGTTCAATATCTGCCATCAATGCTCAATAGGAATTTCTTTAGAGCAAAAATTTGCTGGGAAAGCTAAAGTGTGTTTACTTCAAGGTTAATAAAATATAAGAGATGAGAACACACTTAAAGTTTATCAAAAAAGTCATAAAGATTTTATTCCTCCACTATATGTAACTGTTAGCGTTATATGCCAGAAGATTAGCCATTCTTCGAGTTTAAAAGGAAGAGCACTTTTATCACTTTTACCAATGATTGTTTCCTCCTGTATAGATCTGGAGTGGAAAATCATCTATGTGGGCTCAGCAGAGACAGAAGAGTATGACCAGGTGCTAGACTCTGTACTGGTGGGACCTGTGCCACCGGGCAGGCACATGTTTGTCTTCCAGGTTTGTCTGTTTGTTTGTTTGGCCAATAGAAATGATCAGTTATGCAGAACTACTGCTGATAAAACTTGAAAAGGCAGGTAAGTGTTAGAGTTGGCAAAGTACAAGCTGCGTTAGGAAATTAATGATTTAAGCCATTGCAGACAGGTAGTTAACCACCACCATCGTGCAAGTAAGAAATGAATTCAAACCCACAACTTCAGTAATCCAGGACCATCTACTAAAGCATCACAGGGTGTGTTTGTATAGGTATTGTACCATCAGGCTTGCCCCTCAGCATTTTGAATGCAGTTCAAGATCACCACTTGCACCTTTTTTGTGTATTGTGTGCACAGTCGATGCCTCCAAGACCAAACTGACTCTAGAATGAAAAAAACACCCAGATCATTACGGTTACAACCTCTCAATAAACTGCCAATATTGTCTTAACTACACGTACATGGACTGTCTCATGACGCTGCAGCCAGGATTCAGGTGAATAAACATTGCCCTGTGTTTTCCAGGCTGACCCCCCGGACACGAGTAAGATCCCTCCTCAGGATGCCATCGGTGTGACGGTGGTGCTGCTGACCTGCTCGTACCACGGACAGGAGTTCATCAGAGTCGGCTACTACGTCAACAACGAGTACAGCGATCCGGAGCTCAGGGAAAACCCGCCCTCAGTACCACAGTTTGACAAGGTATGCTTTGCTTAAAAGTTTCTGCTTTGTTATACTTTTCAGGGTGACAGGACTAGACAAACCTTGGGAGAGGAAGTGGATTGTTCTCAGTTCTTAATCTTACAAAGCCTGACAGGAGCAGTATGAGACTATTATTTAAAAAAAATTTATCTGTATTTTAGTTATATGGCTACTCTCTTTCACCTTATCAATGTACATGTATTTTGTTCTTCACTGGGATTACCCATACTAAAATGTCAGCCTCAATAGCATATAAAAGTAATGTTTATATAATCCAACCTGAAAGGCATTTGCCTGCTTTGTTACCTCTCAGTTTCCTTTGTCATGGCCTAATAGCTTCCAAAGTTATTCACAGTTTGCCATTGATCTGTACCCTTCCACAGTTGCAGAGAAACATCCTGGCGAACCACCCGCGGGTGACGAGGTTTCGTATCGACTGGGACAACAGCGAAGACCAGGAGAACAAACCTCCACAGGACGGCATGCAGCAGCCACAGGAGGTCACCACTACAGGCTTCGGCCCTCCAGGTACAAAATCACTGAAACTATATGTTTCTATGTATTGTTTCTATGTATTGTTAACCTTAACATCTAACCCTAGAAAATGGGGACCAACAGATGTTAACCAGATAGTAGTGAGTGTGAGTTAGTGTAACGGGTAAACTTCCTTTAAGCACAACATACCAGTGTTTTCAAAAAGTGTGGTGTGATCTTCAACTATTCTAGGTGGGCATAAGACTTCTGGCTTAACGTCCCGTCTGAGGGGACATCCCTAGTCAAGGCTTAGTACTCATTTTCTTAAGTGAAGAAATACATGTAGGTGTTAGTGCCTTCCCCAATGACATAACATTTGGGTCTGCCAAGAGATTTGAACCCAGAACCTTACGATTGTAAGATCACAACCCTAATCACAATACCACCTTGTCTCCTTACAAAATGTTGGATAATTAAGAGTTGGAAACAGCTGCAGCATTTGTAGAGGGACCATGTTTGAACCCAGTCTTTCAACCACCACACGGGGCCACTCCTTCAAGTATCAAGTACAAAAATCACACGGGACGAGGAAGTGTTTCTTCTCTTCAAGAGTCACAAGGGTGTGGAACTCTCTTTCCCAGGAAGCAGTGTCTAGCAAATCAGTAAATGAGTTCAAGAACCATATTGCACACGAGTGGAAGAATCACCAGGATATGTACAACTACACCTTTACGTACTGAACACATGAGAAGAATTGCTACCGCCGAAACTACCCGAAGTGCGGTCTCATTACCCATACAGGGTACCTATTGACCGGCTACAGGTGAGAAATACAGGTGAGAAATAATACATGCTGTTTATTTTTTCTTTTCCTATTGTAGCCATGGGCCAGTCGATGAAGCCGTTCCCAGGTTGTGAGATGTCCAACGGTGCCAGCTCCTCTAACCCTTCAGCCTTGTTATCCACCGACTCTAACTCTGGCATGGAGGTGCAATAGGGTAGGGGGATGACTGTAGCATGTCAGCAGAACGTCCTGCACCTGCGCCAAACCTGTAATGTGTTGTGCATATCACTTCGGCACAACATCTCATATAAGGTTGTATTTGCACATATGAGGTTAAAGCTTCCCAGGGTTAAGTCGGAAAAGTTGTCTTCTAGTTCTACGACAGGCAAAATTGACCAACGAAAACCATGAAAAATCAGGGTTTCGCACAGGTGCAGTACGTTCTGCTGATGTGCTGGGGGGATACTGACTTCTGTCATATGTTGGGCTTTTTCAGTCAATTTACTTGGTTTTCTGGTTTAAAAGAAAATTGTACATTTGCAGAACAACATTAAAACAGTCTGAATCAAGGTTGAATTGTTATCTCCAATTGTTGCAACATTTGGTACAAATTAGACAACATACAGAGACAGGACATAGATCATTCGTGCCCTTGTTTACTTCCAGTGAATAGAAAATATGTACAAGTATTTGAAGAAAATCAGAATTCAGGTTGGCTTTTTTTGTGTTCATGACAAAGATACTGTCATATCAACCTAGCAATTCTTTACCTATGTGTGTATATATACTTATCACCATTGAGAAGTGCAGAATACATAGAAGAAACTGTTATGTTTTGTACGACAGAAATGTTAAATGTATGATAAAACAATACAAGGATACTTGCCAAAGCAGATCAAACATTTAGACCCTTTCCGTGCATCCTGAAATAGCACTTTTCTAACATACCTTTCAAAAAGTGTTTTCAGTGTTTTCCATTCCTGAAATATGACATCCACGTTCCCATATATAATTATTGAAGTATTAGTGTATGCAACTTTATAACCAATATGCATTCTAGTTTGGCTTGGGTATTCAAAGTTATATTACGCTAACTCTGATTCTAATGTACCACTCAAATTATACTTGCAATTGGTGATATATTATGCTATAGCACTAGCTAATGCATTATCTGAAGCAGCTACTGGTATGTGTGTTTTGTACATGTACATGTGTGTTCTTCATATCTATATTTAGAATGGATTACGACATACATTTACAAGTTTTGTACAGTTCTTATTATACCGTAAGTATATTACTGTTTTTGTCTTTGTCCTTTCTGAAGTCTCCTACAGAACTTTACAAGAAAGCAGTGGGAATAAAAATAAAAACCTGAGTGAGTATTACACACCAGAATCTTGTTGGTTCATGTTTGAGTTTGTTTGGTTGGTTGGTTGGTTATTTATTCTTAATGCATTTCATGTTGTCATAGATCATTGCTATGATACAGTATTTTTATAACTAATGCAACATGAACACAGTAAGTTGTGTCAGGGGAAAATCTTTAATTCAACACCAAATGCAGCAAAACAAAGCAATACATATAGACTCAAGATTTCAATTCAATTATTTACTTAAACAGTATATATACATCCAACCTTCAAGATCAGGTCATGGTATTCTTTATTGGATGTCCAATAAAGTATCTCATGATGTAACTCAGGTTTATGAACAAGAACAAGCTGCATGAAGTTACTACTGGTACATGTACTTACACTCAAGCATTCTTCTGTTCTTATCAACATTTATAAGCACATGGGGGCTGCCCCGGGCATCAATGTACATAAAGTAATACCATAAAACAGAAGGAAGTACAATTGTACTATTTACAAGATGCAAACACTCCTAATACATAATTAGCAACTTAGAATGAATTTAAGCATGTAGACTTGGTACTTTGTGAGTGACCATACTCTTTCCCAAATGCTAAGCAGAGATAGCTTAGCACCCAGTCTTTGGTATGACTTAACCTACAAGTGCAAGGCAAACACTTTACCTATTAGGCCAAAGCACTGGCTTTTTTAAGGTACATGTACATGTAGTTAGGTTTACAGGCTCAGGAGGTTGACATCCTCTGCCTCAGTTGTTTGTCTCCTAACTACTGACATCGATTCTGATCGCTCACTCAAAAAACTTAGCTTTCTCAAGACTTCATCGTTACTTCCTGCAAACAAGTTCTCTGTGTCCCCAATACTGTCAATATCCTCATGCCGTTCTGCGTTTATCAATTCTACATCCTCACGTTTGGTCACTTTCTTTCTCAGTTCCTGCAATTGTGGATTTCTTACAAGGGTGTATGCTAGATACCAGTGCCAGCGCGGCTTGCTTTCATACAGGGGTCTTGGTGCAATGACATAGGAGCTGTACCGGCCGTTTCGTTTGGTTGTAGTGGTGGTGTCGAGAAGTAGCTGACAGAAGGATAGGAGCACAGGGTGCGTGTGTGCCACTTCTATTCTAACCATGCTTAAGTAGAACAGGTAGCCAACATCTGCCTGTTCAAACCCCTCCATTAAGACTGTTCTATCGATGCGAGAGAGCAGCAGAACTCCAAAGATGAGCGAAATGATCACTCGAGAGAAGCAGAAGAAAAACCCTACGATAATGTTAAAGAAGAACATGAAATAGGCAAAGTTCTGGTAAGCCTTGAAGTGCTGGAAAGACAGCGGCTGGTCTTCTTCGCCTTCTGGCTTCTGTAGGAACACATACTTACCTAGGCACCACTGTACCAAAAGGACTGCAATACTCACTCCCATTGGGGGTAGGGAGACCTCAAGACTTGATACTACAAACTCAGGGTTCTTAACCAGTACGTAAACAATGAGTATAATCACCATCATTATAGTCTGTATAATAAGGTACCCCCATATCATGTACGCAACCTGCGCTCCCGAATATTTCAAACTCTGGAAGACATGCCAGCTACTACTTTGCTTAAACTCGGGCAGCCACTTGTAATCCCCCTTATACAGCCTCTGCATGTGTTTACGGTAACAAGCCATGATCCGCAAGAGGTACAGAAACAGTATGAACCCCGTTAAGATGCCCGTGATGTTCCAAGACGGAATGAAGACGTCCCAGAAGTTCTTGTCGATGTCCACCACGACCGTGTGGTTGATGGTTGCGTTGACCATGTTTCTGACGTCACTCCACAGCAGGTTGCCGAAGAACAGGTCGATGACGATTACCTCGTACAGGCACAGGAAGGTCACGACCACTGTGGTGATGACGCGAGCAGAGAATCGGAAGGCTGGATCACTCTTGTACCTGGAAAACAATATGGTCACATAGTGGAGCATTCGCCATATATATTGGTGGGTTAGATTCGAGTGCAAAGCTATCATGTTACAGAGGAAGGTCACCACTACCACGATAAGACACAGGCCGTACTTTAAAAGACACACCAAATATGCTGAATATGGTGATCATGAACGTAATCTAGTGCCCGCCATATTGGTGGGTTAAATGTGAGTGCGACGCTATCAGGTTACAAGGAGAGAGGGAGGTATTTCTCTGGTACACCCTACTATATTTTTACCCCGTCGAAGGGACCGACAATACGGCACTGGGGCTTTAACTAAAATCTGCATGGGATGAAAACTTTGTTCTGTCACCTTCAAAGTTTCTTGTTTCCTTAGCTCTGGTCTTTACCTCTAGTCTAAACTGTGATCGGAAAGAGTATTTAACGAGAGTGTTGTTGAGTGTACTTTATCGTGTTCACATCTTCCGCTAGCTGACAGCCTGTTTGCGTTGGCTTGTTGCGACCCGGTCACCTGTCGGCTAAACTGTACTTTGGTCCCCAGCGTCAAAATATATGCCTGAATAAGCTGAGGATGTACTCGGGAATATCTTTCAGATTTACTTCCATGTACAATTACTGCTACTTCTATATACAATCTGAGAAACAGTAGTAATCTGAGAACCATCAAATTTTCTACCAATCGTTTTGGAAAGTCTTTTATACCATATTCCATCACTGGATGGAACAACCTGAATTTAGAAATCCGTACTCTTTCGTATCCAAAATTTCGTTCAAATCTTTTCAAATCGGTACGTCCTGTAAAGTTAAACTATTTTAGCTTTGGTTCTCGTTATTCCTGTATTCTCATTACCCGACTTCGTCTGGGCACCTGCAGCTTGAATCACAGTCTTTATACCCGAGGTCTTGTTACAAGTCCATCCTGTAGCTGCGGGTGTCCATATGAAACGATTGCTCATTATTTATTGCACTGCCCTATATACACCTACCAGCGCTTAGTCCTTTTTGGCAAGCTTTCAAGCATACTTGGTAATATTGTTGATTTAAACACTCTTTCTGATAATTCCATACAATATTTAGTTCTTCGCGGTAGTTTCCTTTGTTCGTATGACACCAACTGCAAAATAATGTTAGCCGTACAAAATTATATATTAGAAACAAAAAGATTCTAACTGTATGTGTTTTCTGGGATGGGAGGATTGTTACTCACGCGAGGTCTCATGTATTTTTAAATGTCTTGTAAAATATTTTTCTTTCATTGTAAAAGTGGCTGCGAGAATATAAGTACCTAACTTGAGTTCGCAGTCACTTAGTCCATGTATTTTCATTTGTAATTCTCATTGAGCTTCTGAATAAAAAAAAAAAAATAAGCTGAGGCCTACGTGGTCCCTACTTACTGAGACGATTGATGTTATGAAGTAAAGTTTCTATAAATTTGTAACTTACCACATCTCGCGATACCACGGCAGTTCGGGGGTCTCCTGGGGTTTTACGAGTAACCTCTTCACGTGTAGTTTATGGTGGAAGTGCATGAGTTTCTTGTGCCGCCTGGTGTTCTGAACCGGCTGTTGGGGCCCTTTGCGTAGGCGGACGTGTTCTTCTATTGCCCCCTCGATCATTATAGCGAACTTGGCAACCAAGAGGAACAGGCATACCACCGTTGGTAGGCGTACGATGATGTTGAAAACATTCGCGTATTTACCCAAAAATTGGAACGCGTCCTGTCCTATAGGTCCGGCACAGTGGACTTCGAACACTACTTTCACAGAGAACCAAGTGGCACTATACAAAAACCCAAGTATGGCGCCCACAGTCTGCACCTTACACGCCATACAGGCGAAGAACGGGTAGTAGTTCACGCCGAGTTCGAACACAGACACGATGGCGATCAGAAGCTGACTCCACAGCGGCCAGTCGTGTAGGTACGGCAGATAGTTCGAGCTGTAGGCGTCCGTGAAGAGAGAGATACACGCCGTGGTGGTCACACCGAAAGCCACAGCATACGACCACCTGTTGGAGTGGGTGTCGAAGAAGTCCACAGGCACTGGTAGACTAAAGCGGAAATGGCTGCATTTCTTGCCCGTGCCCTGCCCTTGGTTCCTCCCCTCTATCCACGATAGAATCGCGATGATGACTACGGCTGGAATCAGCGAGAAGTGTTGGAAAAGGTCGTCCCGGATCAGACAGTGATACTCCGTACCGTTTGTCCCGTTCAGTCCGTACATGGTTGCCATATTTCCTCAGTTTAGGGCAAATAAAAAATGCAGAAAGAGCTGACACAAAAAAAGAACTTCCCTATTCCCATGGGTTTCGGTGCCAAATGGTTACTTCACTTCCCACAATCCTTTGCCCTCGGAAGGTTTAGTGACGTCACGTGGCAGTAAATTTTGTCAGGATGGTCGCTTCATGAACTAGAGAGCCACTGAAAAAGTGAAATAAAAACACAGTGTGCACGAATTACGAAGAATAAAACACAAATCCGCGAGTTAACGTACAGGTTGGGAAACTAGGGACATCGTACAATGTATGTACTTTGAGATTACTTATTAACCACCTTGCTTACGTCCTGGGCTGACGAAAGCATCGTATAGAATGTGGATGTTCGAAACTGGGTTCTATAGAATTATCTGTTCGATCGAACTCCTTTTTTAGCACAACGCGCACTGTACATAGGGTGCATTTTCTTTATGTCTACCTGCAACCCTTAACCTTTCAGACCGGAGCAAAATGATATTTGTTACAGTGAAGTGCATTTTGATGCTGTACATGACTAGGTGACCTAGTGGTTACTTAGTTAACAAAGCCGCAGCGGGGCCCGCAACTCGTGATAGTGAAGTAACGCCGCCTTTAATAAACAACACTGAGCTCTGGGGTATCTGACGCACATATATATTCACGTGACATTGCTTACAAAGCTAACGTTACATGTAGTCGGCCTACTGGTCTTACGAAGGCTGAACTTTTCACCTTTGACCAAGCGGTCGTTTAGAGCAACTAGAGAGTTGGAGATAGTTTCACTAGTCATAGGGCAGATAAAATGATGAACTACATGTAACGTTATTTAATATCTCCAGTCAAAGCTTGTGTTGAGAATGAATTGTGATATTTCTAGCTCTCCCTCTCTCACACATACAAACAGACGCACTCACTCACTCACACACACACACACATGTGCACGTACGCACACATAACGTTACATACAAGCACATGCACGCACGCACATAATAGTGTAACGGTTATAAACACACACGTGCACAAATACACTGAAGATTATGTTTCAGAAAAATGGGCCAGCATAGGTTGCAACTTTCTTGTGAAAAAGCACCCCTTTATGCAATGGCTTGACCCATATCCCGTCAACCATAGCGCAGCCCGAAAGTTAACAACAGCGTCGGCGCGGTTTCCGAGTTTGCAACAATTTGTGTATTTCTCACGTTCTCTCCACAACGCGACAAAACGTCACTGTCTCGCGATTGCATTTTTCCAGGCTATACCAGGCTGTATATACGAGTATATTGCCAACCGTAGAGCCTAGTTTTTCGTAAGGAAGGATTGTGATTTTGGCAGAAGCTTTGGTCGCCACAATGTGTGATTCTACCTCACGCAGGTAAGTTGAAACAATGCTTTCTTCTTTCGTCAAGTCACTGTCTATAAAACTTAAAACTGTCTTAAAACGTTTCTTGATAAATAGCAACTAAACATTGGCATATTTCTGTCGATCAATGTCAAATCACTAGCGTGTCTGAAATACTGTTTTATTATTTATTAGCGTGACAATAAAGTTGTATATTATATTGAGCATAGGAGTTAAATCTTATGTTAACTAAAACTCGACTTAAAACGTAACACGGATGTATACTTAGGTTGTTCTCTAGGCCAGTTGTCACATAATAATATGCGTCACAATTTGCACTTGTGCAATCTTCAACTCGCCACAATATCGTCTGTGGTTTGGCGTGTGACTGTTCTACTTGCAGTGTTCTATTTCATATCTTGATACAATATTCGAATGTGATTCGATTCAAAGGAACAGTTTACAGCCTCTTCCAAATGAATATACGACGAGGTAGTGGTGGTATTTACAAGAAAGGAGTACTGTATCAAGGATTTTTCTTTTCAATTTTAAAGTCAACCAAGGTGCATGGATTCAAAATCATAAGCTGGCAACATTTGCAGACCGCCAGCTGATATGACATATGATATGGTTTGTTTTCGTGGGAATTTGCCGTGCAGAATATTCCATTCCAAACTCTATTTGGGGGTGGGCGCTCGCACAAAACTGTTGTGCAAGCTTGCAAGAGCGCAAAATGAAATGGCCGGGTGTTCGTATTACAGGTTTGCCTGTATATCAATGGCAAGATGGTCCTTTTGTAGAGTTGCTCATTCGTACAGCTTTGACTGCAATATTTTCCCCTCAACATCTGCTTGGTTATATTAATGGCCTAGTCTATGAAGTCCTATACTTGTATATAGTGTACTTAGTTTTATCCTACTTTTATGTCTTAAATTAAATTGTTTACTGCTGGCGCTAATATCAGTTCTTAACTTTAGTTAAATTATGTCTGTACTTCACCCAAATAAAGAACAAAAACAACTTGCTGTAGGTGTTACAAAACAACTTACAAAAACGTACTTGTTCCCCGACAGCGGCCGTCCTAAGCGCAGTTGTACGCGGGGAAAGACGTACGTTGACCCGGCGGACGCGGAGGAGGCGCACGAAGAGCGGCGTCTGACGGCCAACCTGAAGGAGCGGCACCGCGTGCAGGTCGTCAACCGCGCGTACGCCAACCTCATGGGGAAACTGCCGCCGCCCCTCATGCACGCCATGTTCAAAGGTTCCTCATTCATTCGTTCGTTCTAGTGGAAAAGCACCCTTTCTTTCCTGTACCCTTCATTTTTAGTTCATTAATATTCTTCCGTTTTTCCGTTCGTTCATTCATTCATTCATCCATTCATTGGATGGTCGTTCTTGCCTATTGGTTTACCCTTTCATTTTTCCGTTCGTTCATTCATCCATTCATTGGATGGTCGTTCTTGCCTATTGGTTTACCCTTTCATTTTTCCGTTCGTTCATTCATCCATTCATTGGATGGTCGTTCTTGCCTATTGGTTTACCCTTTCATTTTTCCGTTCGTTCATTCATCCATTCATTGGATGGTCGTTCTTGCCTATTGGTTTACTAATTCTTTTATCCAATAATGCAGTTCTTCCTTCAATTCCTTCCCTCCCCCATTCACCAATTCGTCTGTCCATTCATCCATTAATTTACACATCCATCCGTTTACCCTAGGTAAAAAGATGGTGACGAAAGTTGACATCCTGAATGCGGCCGGACACTACATCCACAACCTCCAGGTCATCATGGCCAGATTACACCAGGTCCCAGAGGGCGGGGGTGAAAGTTCAGGTCAGGGTTCACTCATGCATGGCCAGGTTACACCAGGTGCCAGAGGGCGGGGGTGAAAGTTCAGGTCAGGGTTCACTCATTATGGCCAGGTTACACCAGGTCCCAGAGGGCGGGGGTGAAAGTTCAGGTCAGGGTTCACTCATTATGGCCAGGGTCCACCAGGTCCCTGACGGCGGGGGTGAGAGTTCAGGTCAGGGTTCACTCATACATGGCCAGGTTACATCAGGTTCCAGAGGGCGGGGGTGAAAGTTCAGGTCAGGGTTCACTCCTTATGGCCAGAGGTTATAGTTCAGGTCAGGGTTCACTCGTATTCAATGAAGCAGTGCGACCATCATAAAGCAATGGAGCAGCTATAAAACTGCCATCGCGTTAGCATATTTCAATGTAGCAAGTCTTTGAGCAGGAGTTATTTTTTCAATCGTAAAACCACCAAATTTCTAGCCATACTTTTCATAGATATTTCGTTGACGGACAAACTGTTGCAGTTTAGACGGACGCTGCTAGGAGTCCCAAACCTTGTGTTTTATCTTCTCAACTCCCTGTCCAGACCCCCAGAGTGACTCCAGCCCGGGCGCCAGTGACCAGTCACCTCCCTCGGGCGATGAGAGCCTTCTGAGCGTGTTTGAGAACCTGAACAAGGCTGGGGACAAGGAGGGCGCTGAGAACGATGGAGACTTAGCAACGCCCGAATAGCTTAATGCCGGTGGAAGGAACTTTGAACAACGAAGACTCGGCAACAGACTTAACATTACAATATGTTTGTAGTAGGGTAGCTTTGAGGAGTTTTAGATCGTAGATTGTTAACGTTGTACTGTTCAATTGCCATGCTACTACCTTGTTACAATCATGCGATAACAAATGTATCAAGAAAGTTTTAGTCATCATCTAGTTGTTTCAAGAGGCGAAAGTAGGGAAACAAGCGTACAATCAGGGAAACAGTTGTTTAAATTGCACATTAGTGTTAGAAACATTCAAGAGAGAGATGCACTTTTATCTCAGACAGACACACAGACACGCACACTTGTTGAGGTGACTAGATGCAGAAAGGACAACAATCAAGAGTTGTTTAAATTTCACACTGTTGTATTAGAAACGTTAAAGACATTAGGCACTTTAAGATATAACTCGAAAGGATGTTGTGACACAGGCACTTACAGACACTTGTTGAGACTGTAGAGTTACACAGATGTTGCTGAATCATATAATCATGTTGTATACAATAAAGTTTGCGTTTTACTGTTTGACGTCCATGCCTCTTATTTGATACATCATAACGTATTAACAATTGATTCATAAACACTTGGGTAAGAGTTAAGACGGATTGGAAGAGACGAAATTATGACTCTATTTCAGTCCCATCGTATTAGTGATGACAGAAGGTCTCACTGTCCTGTTCAGAGTTTTGTGAAGGCGCAGGAAAGTGTCTTCAGACTAAGTTCGGGTTAGTGTGAGGTGGTGGAACTCACTCGCCAGTCAGGCACGATGACGTCAGCCGGGGTCTGTTCCATTTTCTGTTGTGGTGGCGAGCATGGTTCGCAACTAGAAGGTCAAGGATTTAATATTTAGCTGAGATGCTGAAATTTTCAAGTACACTTAAATTAGTGAATACAGGACATTTTTAGGTTTTAACAGAGCAATTGTAAGGATTATGAGTTTGTCACTATTTGTCTACTCTTACAATACATTTGGATATGCTTGATGCATTACCTTGTATATGCTTTACTTACAGAGTATGCTGTGTTGAGTCTAACCCCTGCCTGACACACAGTTGTGAAAGGCTGACTGAGTCCTCCCCCGTCTTTCCCTCATGTAGTACCGTCTTACTCAAAACGTCAGTTCCGAGAGTCTCCCGCATGTCTCGAATGTAGTCCACCGCGGCACGAAGGATCCCAACCTTAGCACACGGGCAAGAAACAGTGTTCAGTAGAGTTTGCATGGTATACAATAGACAGGTATAAACACAGCTTCATGTGAGACACAGGTACAGCAATAGATACAGGTATACATACAGGTAAAGATATAGGTGCAGGTACAGATAAGATACAGCAAAAGACACACGTACAGCCATATATACATAGATAGATAGATACAAGTACAGAATATGATATAGATATAGGAACAGATACAAGTACGGGTATAGATATAGGAACAGATTGATACAAGTACAGGTACAGGTAGGTACAGATAAAACAGCTATAGACAGATATAACCTGTAGCGTTACAAATATACAGATACCTTGGTCAGCCTGTCGTGTCCCCTGCCCCGGTTGGGGAAGGGCAGCTCCCGTACCGAGGGGACCAGCCGCTTCAGGCGGGACAGTGCGGCGTTCAGCTCCGCCACGCGCTGCCGCTCTCTCCGCCGCTTGTAGGACCTGTTAGACCACCCCAGCAGCTCAGCTTCCCCGTAGTAAGGTTCCGGCATGGCTTTGCTTCGTACACAGTCCTTGTAGTTATTAAACGGGACATGAAAGACATGGACATAGATATTACATGGGAGACACTAGCAACAAACAGAACACTCTGGAGACAGGAAGTTAAGAAGGGCTTACATCGGGGGGAAGAAAAGCAGAGACTCGCATCAGAACTGAGACGCTTTAAGCGCAAAACCAAGAATAAGTACAGGGTGTAGATGAAGTACTTCATGGTCTTTTAAGACCGACGAATGCCTACTCTAGTAGGATACGGGAGTTTTCTTTTACACAGTGGTGAACCAAAATTTCTCACCTAAGTGCTGACGTTTCGGTGTCTATCAGACACCTTCTCCAGAGCTTCCTCAGTCCTTGTAGTAAGACAGTAGCAAGGTCTCGAATATTTGGTGTTGTAGGTTTTCTAACGGTTTTGATGCCGGAGAATTTTCAAGCAGACTGTGAGAGAACCAATTGCAACCGCCGACAGGGATCTAAAACAGTCTAACTTCTTTAAGAAGACAGTTGAATTTTACAGGACACTTGTACGACTGCCTTAAGAATGGTTTTAATCGTGCAACGAATGCAAGACGTTATAGTGAACTTGCCCTAACTCTAACTGTGTGGATTGAAAAATGCTGATGAAGCATATTGCTAGCAGAAGTAGCAGAGTAGTGCCTACGAAAATCGACAACAAAATGTGACCTTTGACAGCAAAAGGATGACAGGATTTTTGACAATTTTGAAAACAACCACCTGTGAACTATTACTGCGGCCTCACTTTTCAAACAAAAATATACTTTTGAAAATCAACAGCAATTTTGGGGAAATCCAGTCAACACTCAGCGAGTTGAAAACACAATTCTCTGAAAGCATATTTCCTCTTGAGCAACTGGAATTCTATTAATACAGCGACGGGAAAATAAGATTATAATTATTAGTTTCAGAAAAACATCTCATGTCAAACGTTGAAGTTTGCATCGTCTGACAGGTCTCAGGGCCACACAGACGTGAGCTGAAAACTTCCCGCCTTGATTTGAAGGTCGCAGGTTATCGGGAAGTCATGTAGCAATTAACGAGAAGGCTGTGCGCGGTAGCATGAGTGAGTTAACAAGGGGGTGGGGTTTGAAGAAAGTTTGATGCCCCTGAAACATTTACGATGTATGTGTATTTGGCAAGTCTTTTTGGCAATTCTTTGTTGCTTTTAATTTGACGATCTCATACCTTCCTACCAAGACATCTAAGCCGTCTTGAGTTATCGTGAGTGACGCACACACACACACAGGCACACACACATACACATACACACAAAGATAGAGAGACAGACACCCACACACAAAATGACGCTACCGAAAACACAAACCCTTATAATTAAACACGCGGACCACTTTGCCTTGCAGGTGGGCCTACTGCTTCCAACAACATTTGCCAGCCTAACGGCAATATACAAAAAAACTCTTGCAGGTGGTTATCCTTGGTAATGACAGACACGCGCGTAAGTACCCAGCACAGCCGCGCACAGGCAGCCGGGTTCTCTGTACGTGATGTACTGTGACTCGGGTTTAACTTTGTTTTGGACGCCTCGGGCGATATGGGAGGAAAATAATGAGCGGTCGTTTTCAATTGTGTACAGTGGTTTGGATACGCGTACAACTGTTTACACCAATAGTTAACGTATTTGAGGGCTCGCAACAAATCGTTGTCATTTCTCTTTCTTCTCACTTTGTCATAGTGACATTTGGACTTTCAGTGCAGGTGTAGTAGTGATCCTGCTTTTGGACCAAGAGGTTGTGAGTTCGAATCACATATAGCTACTCTCTGCCCCTCACTCTCTCTGTTACTTCATGTTATTTACTTTTTTCATATCCTTAAATTTGTTCAGTTCATCTTTTCACTCTATGTATGCAAATTCATCCGATTCATTTCAAGTAAAACAGCACAGACAAAGTATCCATTTAACCTTTTTATTCACCATGACAAAGCCAATACTAGCGATTTATTTATCAAAGCAACAACAACATCGTGGCGTGTGCACAGTGCAGGCAATTTCACGGACACGCGTTGTCATTATCACTCATAATGCTCATAATGCAGCAGTCTCCACTAGAATAACTACGTGGGCTGAAAAAATATAAAAATTTAGCCACACACGGACAATAATTTGCCAGGGAAGTTTGTCCAGTGTAGGACTGACTCCCGTGGCCAAATTATTCACACTATGCATGTTTGCCGAATGATACTATTCGTAAAACTTAAGAAAGGCCTGGTGGAGGCTAGCATGCGCAGTGCAGTGTCACTGTACCGTCGCTATAGTAGACTGAAATCTTCCACATGCCCTGTTCAACAATCCGAAGATCTCCCAAAGGACATGCTTCACAAGAAAGCGCGCCACATAGCGGTACGTGAGAGAACTGCTCGGAATTCAATACATCTAAGTTGCTCTTATGTATGAAGTTACTGTCTTGGAGTTGGAGGTTAACTAAACATTCCTAGAAACTGGTCAAAAAGGGCAGACTCGTTGCCAGAGGAGCTACTCGGTACCTTCGTTTGGGTTACATATTGACAACCCTTGATGTGGAACTCCACTAAGCTCCAAGCAGATTCGGTGACGTAAGGTGACTTTATGTTCGCCGCCTGTACCCATGGCATTGACTGCCTGTATTCAACGTAGGATACGGGCGGCCAATGGGTACAGGCCCTACCGAATCTGCTTGGAGATTAGTGGAGTCTACCCAGTCTAACTTCGCTGGCACATTGTTCACCCTATTCAAACAACTTCTGGGAATTTTCTAGCAGCCCAAGGGGCCTGATAGAGGCTATGCGACTAGCAGCCCCATGAGCATAATAGAGACAGGGGCATCAGTAGAACATGGCAACGGCGACCGGCAGCAGGGCCAGCACAGAGAACCCGTGCACTCCGGTTGCTCCGTTCAGTACTCCGGTCCGCTGGGCAAAGCCAGAGTTGCACCTGTCATGGGAAGGCAAAGAACGGTTAGAATACACCTGATTACTTCAGCATAATGAAAATAACTTTACAATAATAACTTGGTCCAGTATGTGTAATAGTCCTCAAATCACCACCAATCAGTCTGTCCCTTTAACTAGAGTTCATCCACCCATCCACCCATCCATCCATCCATCCATCCATCCACCCATCCATCCATCCATCCACCCATCCATCCATCCATCCATCCACCCATCCATCCATCCATCCATCCATCCATCCACCCATCCATCCATCCATCCATCCATCCATCCACCCATCCATCCATCCATCCATCCACCCATCCACCCATCCATCCATCCATCCATCCACCCATCCACCCATCCATCCATCCATCCATCCACCCATCCACCCATCCATCCATCCATCCATCCATCCATCCACCCATCCATCCATCCATCCATCCACCCATCCATCCACCCATCCATCCATCCATCCATCCATCCATCCACCCATCCATCCATCCATCCACCCATCCACCCATCCATCCATCCATCCATCCATCCATCCATCTATCCATCCATCCACCCATCCATCCATCCATCCATCCATCCATCCATCCATCCATCCATCCACTCACAAGTTACATAATATGCTACGTAATATAATGACAAACCTGTTCGTATTGCAGCACTTGATGCAGGTCCCGGTGCCGACGGCGTTGGCACAGGCACTGCTAACCTCAGAGTCACAGGTATCATCATCATCGTCCCAGCAGTCGCGCTCGACACCGTGGGCGTAGCCAAGGATAGTCTTGAGCTTGGTCTGTAAATGAGACAGACAGTCAGATATATAATGCCTATATGTAATCCTTGTGTTTCTAGATCAGACTGATGACGACAGTTCTCATAATATGCAAATAACAGAGTTCTTTGACACAAATTCCTTTATAACACATAAACGCTTTAATATTGATAATAACTACAGATAAATACATTTCTGTTCTTTCTTTACAAAATGCAGCATGGCAACAAATCATTTTACATAGGAGTGTCAAATATTACGTCTAGCTTTTCCTGTTTTAATTTATATATTTTTAATTGTGTTGTATGATAATCAATCGTTGTTTGATAATACTACAAGTGTTAAGACTTAACTGTTAGTGTCCTGTCCCGTGTATAATGGTACGGTCCAAAAAGGGGTCGGTTATTCTAATGACTTTTAATGTCGCTGCCTGATAAAATATGGGAAATGGAGCCTTCTGATTGGTCGATGCCTTCTGGCTATATGATAATATTATTTAATGTCTTGGGGTGGTGGGACTTCGGCGCAATGGTATAACTCACTGTGTTTATATCTATTAACTGTAGAAATGATGGGGATGGGTAGGGACGGGGGAGGGGAACAAACAGATGATCACAATGAGCAGTGCGCTTTACATCTTAATACTCACGAAGCATTTAGACGTAACGGGGCAGCCGGTGACGGTCGGCACAGTGGTGTTTGGGTCGTTGGCCTTTTCGAGACACGCGTTGGTCCCGGAAATAGAAGACGTGATAGAGTCGAACAGACCCGCGCTGCACTGAAAACAGCTGATGGTCGTCTGGCTCGCTGCGTCTGTAGAGAAGGGGAGGTAACGTCAAAGAAGAGATACATGTACAAGCTAAATAAAATTATATCAAACCCTCCATGAAATTTCCCAAGCTCACATGAAGCTTCCTATGACCTACCTACACACTAAATATCCTTCCAGGCCATATTTAGCTGACAACAAACAGACACGGGCAGGCCGAAAACAATTCCTCCATTTTTCAATGAGTTTGAAATGTCATTGAATCATTAGTAGGCGTTGCCGGGGTGAGAACGCAGGCAACCGTGTGATCCCATGGCCAGACACACAGCGTATGAGTCACCACTACACAGTGAACAGTGGTTCAACCGGTTCTGGCCTTCGGCTTATCTAATTACTAGTATACAGGCGTCCACTTGAACAGAAAAATAGCTGCTGTTTGATTTGTGGGATCTTGTGTGTGTTTTTGGTACTGATAATGCTACATTTCCACTGGATACCGTTGAACAACCAGAATTGGCTTTATATAATTATGTGTATGACCCATGACATGAACATAATCCACGACGTTGAGGTATAGTTTGAAAGACAACAAAACACACAAACCTGACGACTTCGACATTAACGCCTTTTCACTAACTAAAGCTTTCGACCGCTGATCTTTGACAGCCCCGTCAATGAATGTCATTAATAAATAGCAACTGTTTAAAACGTCTTATGTGACAATGTTTTTACGGTGTTTTGCTAATCATACCTTAACATTGTACATCATATTCCATTTACAAAATCAGGGGTCATGTAATCTAATGTTGGTCGCCGCCCAGTGGAAAGGGAACTTAAATATGGTTGCACAACAGTCGTCGTCTCAGTAGAAAGTGATCGGATAATATTTAAAAACTCACATGCAGCGAAACTCAGTACCACGGCCACGAGCAGAAGCTTCATGTTGTAGGTTGCTCGGTTGACGAGTTTGAACCGGTGTCTTCTCAACTGTAAAACATTCCAAGCAAACCGCCATTTTGTAAATCACTGCGTTTGAGAGATCTCTAGCTTTAGTACAGCAATACTAGTAAACATGCGTGCTTTAGTCTGGGGTACGTTGCATTGGAGATCTTTTAGGCCCTTTAGAACGGTCATATATATGGCGACGTGAATATGTTAGAAGACGTTACCGTTTAAAGTGATTATCAAGGAAACTACATGTTTTGGGGTCGCATTATTTTACTCCGTTCGCGCGGTTTAATTCAAAAGAATAGGGTTGTGAAGGCTACAGCATGATTTTCAATCCCACCTGCGCTTTTAATTCATAATTAACTTTTTAAGTTTCAAGGTATCTAGACTTGAACGACATTTGTTCGTTTCTGGGACTTACCTTAATCAGACTGGTGTGTTCTCCGTCCGCTGTTAACAGCTAAGTACGCCCCTTTGGACGGAACCTGGGTAAGGCCACACCTCAACTAAACGCTGGGTAATTATGAACCTGCCAATGTTATCTTAAAACACAGCCTACACGAGTTGGCAAAGTCTTGTCAGAAAGACGTTACCGCGTTTAGACGTAGATGTAGTAGGAAACATAGACGCTAGATAGTCCCGTAAAATTGCATGATCTTTAAGATTTCACATTAAGGTAGTGTACCCCCGACTTAACATTGGCATATGTACGAGTAACTTATGCGTGGTCATACGTCACAACATTGTTGGTCTGAATAGGTAAGGCCAATAACCGGTTTTCCGGCATAGCCGAGTCTAACCCTTTCGCCCTTTATATTTGTAAACGACGCAAAACAACACAGAGAGTGTCTGTGTAACCATTTTATTCCCCATGGCAAATTCAAGCGTTTTTGATCAAAGCATTAACAACATCATGGTCGTGTGCACAGTGTAGGCAATTTCACGGCAACACGTTGTTATAGCGACATTATTGAGCTCATAATTCAGTAATCTCAACCAGACTAGCAACGCGGGATCAAAACAGTAAAATTTAGCTAAATAGGGGGAATAATTTGCCATTGAACTTTGCACACTGTAGGGTAACTTTAGTATACGCTTCAGGCTGGCTCTTCTGGCCAATTATTCCCATTATATTTGCCGAATTTTACTGTCCATAATCCCTTGTGCAGGCCTGGTGGGGGCTAGCATGCTAGCAGTGCAGTGTCACTGTACCGTCGCTATAGTAGACTGAAATCTTCCACATGCCCTGTTCAACAATCCGAAGATCTCCCAAAGAACATGCTTCACTAGAAAGCGAGCCACATAGCGGTACGGGGGTGAACTGCGTATTCATTATTTCATTTAAGCTGGTGTATAAAGTTTTAAGATTGTCTTGGAATTTCGCCGATGCTCTAGCTGCGCTTATGTGTGAAGTTACTGTCTTGGAAGTTGACTGAAAATTCTTAGAAACTGGTCAAATGGGGAAACTTTCTTGCCAGAGAAGTCAGCCATTGGCAACACATTGGCAACCTTTGGTGTGGAACTGTACGCAGTCTAACTTCGCTGGCACATTGTTCACCCTATTCAAACACTTTCTAGGAATTTCTAGCATTCCAAGGAGTCTTATGGGGACTCAAGCTTTAGAGAAACATGGCGACAGCGACTGGTAGCAGGGCCAGCACAGAAAAGATGTGAGTCCCGGTCACTCCGTTTTTCACTCCATCGAGCTGCGCGAAGTTCGCGTTACACCTGTAAAAAAGCAACAACAACAGAAAACAACGTGTAAGAGATCATCCAACTTCATTTCTCACTGGAAAAATTCCATTCAGATCAGACAGGGACGTCAGTAGTCGAAACATTCGGATTCTGGGTCAACATTCCTAGCCACGAGGCTACTTTTAATACCACTCAAGACCAAAGTGCCACTTAATTACATAAGAGTATTTGTATTTGTATAGCCAGTATAACCGCCCTTCGGCGCAGGCACGTGACGCGGCGGCAGCTGACTACATTACACCGATCGACATGTTACACCTAACCCTTGAACATCTAACTCTACACATTGTTTAAAGCTATCCAATGATAATACCCCTACTGTACTTAGTGACAGTGAGTTCCACTCCGCGATAGAATGAGTTTTTGGACAACTCAATTTGTCAATCCTTCGTTGATAACCCTGGTACTTGAAGGCATGACTATTTCTTGTTCTTTTCTGGGCTGGTATTAGCTACTTAGTAGTTAGTACGTCCACCATGCAGTTTATTAGTCATTTTGTACAGCATGCATATTCTAGACCTACTTGTTGGTGTTGCAGCATTTGAAGCAGGTGTTGGTGTAGGGAAATGAGTTACAGGAACTCTTCTGTGCCTCGTCGCAGTTGTTGTCGTCTCCCTTGTCGTCATAGTTGGTCCAGCAGCCCCGCTCGATGCTGTAGGCGTACTTCGCAATTGTCCGGATCTTGGTCTGAAAAGGAGTGGTAATATGGGTTTTAATTAGAGCTGTGTACGATCTGTATGATATTGATACATAAAGATTAGCACCTTTGAATCAGTATTTCATACTCTGGGCATTTAAAACAGCAGAAACAAGCCCCAAGATTAGTCCTTTATTTCTTGGTAGTACCCTAAAAATCAATCCAGGTTCTTCCAGTAACCGTTTTTCGTCAGAATTTGGGGCAATTTTGCTCCATGAATGTCGATATACTTTGGGACACTAACGGTTGTTTCAACTCTCCACTCTGGTTTCCAAGCCCTGAAAACTGCATTGGATGTCCTTAACTGAGTGCGTTCTATACCCCCAGGACATACTTACGTAGCACTTAGCCGTTTTTGCACACGTGATGGTCTGCACAGTGGAGTTGGCATCGTTCGCGCCCCTGAGACATGGGTTATTCCCAGTTATACCGCCCAGGATGGAGTCACCAACACCCGCTTTACACGTAAAACAATTCACCATCTCCTGACTCGCTGCGTCTGTAAATAACGTCAAAGGAGACATATAGAACGACCCGAATGGAACGCATCGAACCCCCTGTTCTATTTCGAACACCTATTTCGAACACCCGTGTTCGTAAAATCGCGCTGATTTTGACGGAAGTGTTCGAAATGGAACAGGTGGTCCGATGTGTTCGATCCGGATCGGTCTATTAATATAGAGGCTAAAAACATAGGTTTAGGGAGCTAAAACGTTTAAACTTAAATCAAACCCACTTTTGGAATGAAAAACAACAAAAAGCTGTGGAGTCATCAGAATATGTTGGACCTATCCTGGGGTGAAAATTTAGAGCTTATGTAAATATTGTTCTTTTATATTACATGTATTTTTATTTCGGCTATTCATGATGGAGATAAGGTTGTAATCATTTTCACTGATGATCTTCTATATCCAAATTATGAGATAAACCGAAGACAATACAAAAGGAGGTAAAAAATGTCAATGAATAATTTATAGGCGTTTCCTGCGTGAGAAAAGAGGCCATCTGTGCACACAGCACACATGTCTGAGTCACCACACCACGGCAGTACAACCGGTACTGGCCTTCGGCTTTGTCTTACTAGTAATTACCAAGGCGTCCTTTTGGACAGAAAAATAGCTGTTGTTGGATGTTCATGTCTTGCGTGTGCTTTTGGCACTGTTAGCGCTACCTTTCAATTAGATGGAAAACGTTGAGCGATTAAAATTAAATATTTATGACCTATGACTAGCAATTGGATATGATATATAATAAAGACGTATGGGTTGAAAGAAAACAGAACTTACGTCCTGAACACTGAACCCTCTTTCCACTAGCGGTGGCGACCGCTTATTGAAAAGGAACACATCTCTCAACGAATTACATGGATAAGGAACGATTTTTTTTTGTATTTTGCTAATCATACATTAACATCATATCCCAATTACAAAATAAAGGGTGACACAAGTCCAATTTTGGTTGCACAACGCTCACCGCCTCAGTGAAAAGTGATCGAATAAGATGAAAAAACTCACATGCGGCGAAACTCAGGATCACGGCCACGACCAGAAGCTTCATGTTGTAGGTTTTGGCTTGACGAGTTTGAACCGGTGTGTTCCCAACTGTAAAACATTCAAGCCGCCATTTTGTAAATCACTGCGTTTGAACAAAAAAGGCGTTGGTTTGAGAGATCTCCAGAGCAGCACTCCCAGATATACGCACAGTTGAGGTATAAAACAGTACTTTTTATGTTAGGATGTTGCATTGGATGTCCTTTAGACGCTTTAGACTGGATAAAATATCTTTATGTCGGCGGATAAAATGTTCTTATGGTAGCAGATAAAGCGATCTACTTATGGCGTCAGGTAATATGGTGGCTTTAAACGTTACGGCTTATATAGCGACTATCAATAAAACTACGCCCTGTTCCTGAGTCTAAATTTCCAGGTATCAGGCAGCTTATCGCAAAACGTTAAGTTGACATCCTGGACTTTTAACGTTGTCCTATTCGCCAGCATACCTACCAAGGACGACTGCAACTCGACACTGAGTGCGCCACTTCGTATTGTTCTCTTTTCGCTGGGAAAACAACAGCTAAATCGATAGATATCCGCCAAAGTTGCTTTGAACAGACTGCAACATGTCTTACAACCCTACCTGCGCTTTTCCTACGTTTCTAGGCATGATTCTATGCTTCTATTCGTTTCTGGGACTTACCTTAGTCAGACTGGTGTGTTCTCCGCCCGCTGTGTACAGCTAAGTGCGCCCGTTTGCACAAAATCCGGACAAGGCCACGCCTAGACTACACACGGGTCGTTAAACATCTATCGTGGGACACCTGGTTATGGACCAGTCAATGTTATCCATGGCACATGTCCTTAACAAGTCGGCCTCGTCTTGTCACAAAAACGTTACCGCGTTTAGACAGTAAATGATAGGAAACACAGACGATATCCAACTCTTATTGCACTCATATTTTAAGATTTTAAAAAGAAGTTAAGGTACTGTATCCCGAGACTTCACATTGGCATATGTACGAGTAACCCACGTGTTACTATACGTCACCACATTTGTGTTCTGTCTAGTTAAGGCCAAAAACCGGTTTTGTTACATTGTCGAGTCGTATTTTGACAACAATCGCGGTGTTTTTGAGAGAAGGTACGTGACAAGAGGAAGTGTTACAAGAGGATGTGTGACAAGAGGAAGTGTTTTGTATTCGACTCTTTGTAAATCAAAGAAATTCTTGCTTCATGAGGCATAGCCAGAAAAAAGGGAACCACAATGTATACACTTTTTACTTCACCCCGTGGAATTGAAGAATTGTTTGTGACTGTCTCTCTCTCTCTCCCTCCCTCCCCCTCTCTCTCTCTCCTCCTCTCTCTCTCTCTCTCACACACACACACACACACACACTCACACACACACACACACACACACGCACTAACACTTGCTGGGTAAACTAAAACAGAACGTCACACACTACAAGGATCTTTATTCCAGATTTTGATTAACAAGTATCTACTATGTTAGATAGCTGTACGGCTATTCGTGCATGGGTGTCTTTCACATGTTCGTTGTTCAACGATCGCCAGATCTCCCGACAAACATACGTCATCAGACAGTGCAGCACTGCCGCCTAACGATACTGACGTGTATGTCATAGTTTTATCGAAATAAAAAAAATGCTATGTGATTGTATAGTATAAATATCATATGAGAAAGAGAAAAATCAGTTGTAAGTTACGAACCTCCACCCCGACCAAGTTTAAAATTACAAAAACGTATAAAATCATGATATTTAGAGCATAATCATTTATATCTTTGACTTTACTGTTAACATTTTTTTCTTTGTAGCAGACATTAATTCCAGACTTACATACTTATTATGATACGTTAAGTTTTATATCTACAAACTACGTGATTATGAGCCAATCACTTTTTCAAACAATTCTTATTCTGAACATCAACACCTGAGATTCAGAAGTACACACCACACGTACTTCATGTACAACTGATTCTGTGGTGTGGCTCGGGTTGCGCATGCGCATTTACAACAGCATTGCCATGGCAACGGGCAGAAGCGCCAGCACTGACACCACGTGACTCCCGCTGACTCCGTTCTTAACCCCGGCCAGCTGGGCGAAGTTCTGGTTACACCTGCGAATGAGACAAGAAAGATATTAACGATCGGCGATAATATTTGAGAGCTTGGTCAACTCAGCTTCTAAAGGGCACTTGATAGTGGCTGTTGTGTCGGGACCAACGTGTTCTTTATCCAGAATAATGCTTTGGCATGGTTCTGGATAGCCCATGCGTATCCAGAGCCGTGGTTTATCCAGAACCATATGAGTAGGCACGCGTCTCCAAACTACTGCTCTACTTATTAACACATTCATATACTAGTACATGTACATCGTGGCAAGCATCTCCAACTCTGTCCTGCCACATAATGCAACTCCACAGGGTTGCTACAGCACCAGTTACCATGGTGACAGACGTCTGGGCCAGGTCATTGACCTTATGTGTTTGAAGGAGAGAAACTGAGCGAAAACAATATGTGCGAAGGCAAACATAACAAGACTGGCAATGAAAACATACATTGCCATGGCGACGGTGGTTGCTGTTAGGGTTATTGTTTGCATGGCACTGCCATCATATCATGATTTTGAGGAAGACTTGGTATCTGTTAAGTCTAGATAGATACAGTGTATTCCTCCCCTACAGTGTATAGTGAACGGGCAGACAGGTCTTCTCAAGGGTTCCAGGAATGTGGGCATAGATGTGGGTCAGAGAAATGCCTGTGGACATTCCGCATGCCTGTGGACAAAATGCCTGTACAATTCCTAGAATTCTTGCGAATTGCACACAATACTGTACCATTAGGCTCCTCCCTGAGACGTTGCCAAAAAAAAGGGAAAAATAACGGATCATACCGGTTGGTGTTGCAGCACTTGAAGCAGGTTCCGGTCTTCAGCAGTCCATTGCAGCCGTCCTCTTCCTTCTCGGTGCAGGTGTCCTCGCCCTTGTCGTCATAGTTGGCATAGCAACCCCGCTCGATGGAGAAGGCGTACTGGGCAACGGTCCGGATCTTGGTCTGCAGTAGGGTGGGGGGAGGGGGGGGGTACGGTTAGAATCGGTCAGATCTTTGGGTACTCGCACAATCTCCAAGCAGAGTGGCAAAACACAGTATCAAATTGGCCAGGCAGTATCCATTGGCCAGATACATGTAGGTGGAGTATGGACCCTCTCTGGCGAATGGATACTGCCTGGCCAATTTGATACTGGGTTTTACCATCCTAGGATCTGCTAGCATCCTAGGATCCTAGAGACTAATACTCGCCATCATCCAGTAGTGACGACCGGCCCTGCCCATTGAGGAGCCGCATTGTATCCAGAACCGTCACTCTGTTAGTATGCCTGGATGGGTTAGGGTTAGGATCTGGCACGGTTCTGGATAGTCTGTATCGTTCACCACAAGTTCAATGCAAAAAAATGAACCACTCTTTTAACAACAAAACAATGCTCGCAATGCTTTATCACAGCACCTTATATAGAACATTTTAGACATTGTCCGACTTAATGTGTATTAACAGATCTACAGCAATAGTACACTGGTATTAGTATATAGTACCCTGTAAGGTTTAATCTTACACATAGCCATTCGTGCTGTACTTACGTAGCACTTGGTGGCAGCAGGGCAGGTGGCAGTCTGGATGGTACTGTTTTGGTTATTGGCCATCTTCAGACACGGGTTATCACCGGTGATGCCGCCAATAACCGAGTCCACAACGTTCGTCTTGCACTGGAAACAGTTGATGGTCTGACTGGCTGCGTCTGTGGTAAAAAAAAGATAGTTCTTACTTAGAATTTATTCTTCTATGAACACTAGCCTTTTGAGCTAAAGGGCATCGGGATAGAGACAAAGACTTAGGGGCTCAGACACATGAGGAAATCAGAGTTGTCCAGCAATCTCGGTCAGTGGCCAGTCTCTATAATCTTCTAGTTCATATATACTGTTTGCCGACCCTTCTCGGTTTTTGTCTGTACATGTAGTTCATTTTGGATCTCCCCAAATGAACTACAGAAAAGAAATAGTTCCAATTTGCACAATTCGTTTCTAATGATGACAATGATGTACATGTTTATCTAGGACCACACATGATGATGAAAATTCATCTTTCCTCAAGTCATCTTTATCATGATTTACTTCATGTGGGATCGACCCACTTTCTGGTGCTTTTCAGGAATTGTTCTAGCCGCATGGTGCCTCTGATGCACAGACCAGTCCAACTGGTCCTTGTGACGTCACTTGTAGCCATGGCAACGATACTGACGTAATCGTGTTTAATCCTATTTGTCTATAACCACCTGTTTTTCTCTCGGTAATAATGACTCAATGACCATTATTTGACTACCGGTTGGACCAGTCAACCTGCAATTTGCATTTCAGGACGAACACAGTAAAACAATTTTCTATGCGGCAACTTTACGTAATTACGGTGTTGTCTACTATAAAATGAGAAACTAATTGGTCAGAGTTAAGACTACTTCCTTCTTTTCTTTTCTTTTCTTTGAACCGAAAGACGACGAAACTTGTTACTTACATGCAGCGAATCCCAAAAGAACGACGATGGCCAGAGTCTTCATGTTGTGTTGGTGAGTCGTAGGTCTTCCGTCAGTAATTCAGATAACCTGTACAACACAGAGGAGAAATCATCGTACACAGCACGTTATACGGCTTATGTTCAACATTCTGGATGGAGAACGTTCAGCGATTCAAAATTGAATTTGTACCACATGTGACTATCAATTAAACAATGTACACAATACTAAATTAAATTCAACAGTGTACCTGCGTTGAAGAGAAAAAAACGTAAAACTTCATAATGCAAGGAATTTTTCGGTAATTAGGTAGATATCCACTAAGTTACCATTGCAGTGTTTCTATTATCACTAAAATTATGTCAAGAAGTTGCAATGGCAAAAGAGTGGCATTTTTCTGGAAAAAGTCTGAAAAGTCAGGAAAGTTTTCGTCATTTTATAGGACAAAGAATGACCAGTACAACTTTGTAATGGAACAGATTTTCCAACAAATAAGTAGACATTCCTACAATGGCAATGCACAGTGTTCTCAATCAAATTTAGGTCAAGGATTTGTGATTACAATGGCACAAAAATGTCACAAATCAAGAAAGGTTTTGACATGATTAACGAGATAAGAATTTAGTAGAGTCACTTTGGCATCAGGACGCTTGAAAATCCATCATGTATGGTTTTTCCCAACATCATTTTCCACACACAAACAATTGTCTGATTTGTCACCAAGACAACATAACAGACAAAATGTGTCAAGTGACCTGATTCCAAATTCGTGCAAAACATATCAATGCAGGTTGTTCTTACCAGGGACATTTTGAACATTTCAAACTAATTTTTCTATGTGTTGAAATAAGCCAAGTCGGTATGTAACGGTAGGTTTAGATGCTTAGTCCACAATTATTCAAGTAAAGTGAACAAGCATACTTTTAACCCACGACTTCTGAAATTTGTAAAGCTTCTCAAACCTTCTCAAAGCTGAGTGACCTGATTCTAAACCAGAACAATCCAAGGGTGTTTCTTCTTATCAGAATCATTCTTAACATTTCAAAACTAATTTTTGTGTGTGTGATGAAATAAGAAAAAAAAACATAGGAATAAACCCAGTTGGTGAATAAGGCGTGGCTTCATCCGCTCTACTAAAAATAGTCGAGAAAAGCTTTAAAAGCGGCTAGGACGAAAAAGGATGAAGCCGCTTGGATTCAAAGCAATGCTACTCACGCATATCGAAGTAGAAGTCTTTTCCTGCGGCTTGTTACGGGAAATTGTATCAGGTGTTGGACTTACCTTGAGAGTGGACCTTCTCTGCTGTCGGTATGCAGGAAAATGAGTCCAGCACTCACCTTTTTCAGACTACACCTGCCTCGACGGGCAATTATCTTGGCTCATTGGCAATTATCTTGGCTCATTTGCATACACCTATCAGGAGTAAGAGAAGGGGCAGACTACATTGTACACCTGCATCAATGGGCAATTATATGGACATATTTGCATGAATCTAAGGGACAAGAAAAGGGGACATGTCTTTCTAGTATTCCCTTCCGTTGTCTGTATCACTCTGTATCTACACAGCCGGTAGAACTTTGGTTGGTATAACACACCAGCTTCGCAGGCACGTGGCGCGGCGGCAACTCGTTGTACTAATGTACATCGAATGACCTGTTATAATGTAACCATTGACTAATGAAATCTGTAGTGGAACAGGCATTTATTAGATGCTTGAGTAACAGTTCCCTTGTGTATTTCATTGTCTAACCTTCGTCGACGTTACTCGTTATGTAAAATAGTAGTTGTACAAAAATGACTTCGTGAGTTAAACGTATTGCCAATAGCCCGTATTCCCACACTTTGGACTACATTGATTGACTCTGGTGGAAATGGGTCAGACCTACCCACATGGGACGGCTGTGAGTCACGCAAAGGTGTGGCAAAGGTGACAGGACAATAGAAGCAGCACTGTACCAACCGGTTTCTACTCGTTATGGCGTAACTGAAGAAAGAGGATGAAAAAATCCCAAAGGTTTTCAGAGATTAACAGATTAACGGAACTATATGTACATGTATGACTATGATAAATCCTGCTGTCTTGTTCTTAACATGATTCACACGAACAACGTAATATACACAGGGAAATATGTTTATTGTCTACATTGTACATGAGGCTGTGTAGGATGCCCTAGTTTTACTGCAATTATCCATAATGCATCACATATGGCATAGCACAGAAGACACTATACAAAGACAAATAAGACAACGGAATGTTCAGTTAGAAGAAAACACATCTGTGTCACTGCAAGACACCTACCAAGTTATTACTAAAATCTTCCTATTAGAGTAAATGGTTATAATCTTTGTAGTGCAACATCAATACTTGGTAAAGATATATGAATACAACAGAGACAACCGCAAATTACTGCAATGTAACCTTAAACAAAGCTCCTTTTGTACAATTTCGGTAGCGTGTCATTTATAATGCAAGTAAACCTGCATTGATAATCACAAAAACAGAAAGTAGAAGTAGATCTTTCAAAAATACTTTGTGCAACTGTTACACAGACAACAGCCTACTAAAACACCCTGTCCTGAATGAAGTGTTACTCCACACAAGTCTCCAAATTTACAAACTAAAACAGCATCCTCTTGTAGTATATACACCAAAATACAAAATCTCTGTCTGTACATAAGGCAAGTTCATCAGCAGCAAGTAACAGGCAACAACAAAAGTCCTGGATGAACATGTCCAGTGATGTATAAGTAGTTAGGCTATAGCAAGTTGTAGATTCCACCAAGTAGGTGAACTAATATATACATTGTGACGGGATAAGGCAAGTCTATAGTTACTAATTCGAGTGTACATATTGTCAATGTAATCCTGCAATGTCTAGAAGGTAAGTATTATATTACAAGAACCTTTAAAGTCTTGAAAATGCTAAATCGTGTAGATGCTGTGCCCAGACTTGAGCAAAAAGTTTTCCCATGTGGCTTATAATGTTTCCTATGTACATAATGTCTTACTGTAAATAATCTTCCTTGATACCTGATTGTATGAATAAGTTACACTTCTTTTCCATTGATTCTACTGCAACAGATTTATGTTGATATTATCTGCGATCAGTAGATATTGTCTAATTCCTGAGGGAACATCTGAGTACATTGTCATTCCTCTGAATTGTGAATTGTCTGTGGTCAATTACTGCAAGATCTTTGAACACAGATGGCAAGATGGCTGTTAGACAATAAGACAAAAACACAAAACATCATTTTATGAATACTTGTGGCATGAAAAGTCTTTTAAAATCTCGAAAGGTTTTTTCAGGGTTTATATACGTGACATATTGGCAGTTCTGAAAATTTGCAGAAAAGTTGCAAACTCCAGTAGTTTACAGTCACACAAATCGGCAAATAGTTTCATCAGTTTTTTTTTTACACAACCATGATCTCACTCTGCTAAGGTTTCGGTGTCTATCAGAAGCTCTGAGGAAGGTGTCTGATAGACACCGAAACATAAGCAAGGTGAGACAATACTGGCCTCTACTAGGCTTCGGGAGGCGGCTGGAAAGAGTAGAAATTGGCCAAATAAGAGAGACAGCATGCCAGGGGAGTTGGTCTGCTGGGAGAGAACAGTTTGCCGCACCGGGTGCCCAACTCCCCTGGCATGCTAACTCTCTTATTTGGCCGATTTCTACTCTTTCCAGCCGCCTCCCGAAGCCTGGTAGAGGCTAAGACAATACTTGTTGTGTAAAAGAAAATCCCTATGTCTAATACAGTGCTTCACAGCTAGTTGCTGACTTGTGGGATCTGACCCCGTGACCCCCATCTAATGGCGGCCTCCCCATGCCCATGTACGGAGTTGGTGGAGCCCAGGTTGGTCCTGATTGGTGAACCTTGACCCTGTGGGGCGTCGTAGTCTGGCGGAGGGATATCCGGGGGGTAAACAGGCTGTGACGTCACTCTGGGTTCGAAGCTTGCCGGTTTTGTAAACTCATTCATCGCTGTGCTTACATGCACGTCCTGACAACAAAAAATGCATAAAGTTAGTATGAAATAATAGAATAGTTACTAGTAAGTCATGATATTTAAGTTCTGAAAACAGATAAGCGTACTTCAACATACCAAGGAAGCATTTAGACATCAAAGTCTAGATATTATTTAATTAGCTTAAACAGCTTTAACCTTTTTGACATCAGCAGAATCTACTTCTATGTCTATATTTCAGGATGCATTTGTTCTTAGTGGTCTAAAAATCTTAACTAAAATCATAAATAAAAGCTTATGCACAGTGGCTTATGATGAATGAAATGGATGAAATGATGGTGGCAGGTAGCATGAAATAAATGTGCTTGAGCATTAGAAGATGTGCAATACATGTAGTGACAGCATTAGACGTTAACAACATTATAGCAACGCAGTAAGCCTGTAAAAAAACTAGTTTTAAGGAATATGGAGGATATAAAGGGGTTAGTGAGGTGTCAGCAAAGTCTAAAACCAGTCTAACGCAAGGCTACGTTTTAGAGCGGTCATACTTTTACTCTGCTGTGGACACATGATATACATGTACATCATGATGTAGGTGATATACATGTACATCGTGATGTAGGTGATATGCATGTACATCATGATGTAGATGATATGCATGTACATCATGATGTAGGTGATATACATGTACATCATAATGTAGGTGATATACATGTACATCATGATGTAGGTGATATACATGTACATCATGATGTAGGTGATATACATGTACATCATGATGTAGGTGATATACATGTACATCATGATGTAGGTGATATACATGTACATCATGATGTAGGTGATATACATGTACATCGTGATGTAGGTGATATACATGTATATCATGATGTAGGTGATATACATGTACATCATGATGTAGGTGATATACATGTACATCATGATGTAGGTGATATACATGTACATCATGATGTAGGTGATATACATGTACATCATGATGTAGGTGATATACATGTACATCATGATGTAGGTGATATACATGTACATCATGATGTAGGTGATATACATGTACATCGTGATGTAGGTGATATACATGTACATCATGATGTAGGTGATATACATGTACATCATAATGTAGGTGATATACATGTACATCGTGATGTAGGTGATATACATGTATATCATGATGTAGGTGATATACATGTACATCATGATGTAGATGATATACATGTACATCATGATGTAGGTGATATACATGTACATCGTGATGTAGATGATATACATACATTTATATCATGTATCCACAGTGCAGGATACATGATATCATGCTATTGATACATGGCATACATGTATGTACTGATGGTTGAACTACGCGAGCAGATACAGAACCTCTCACCGTTTTTACCTTGTGTGCTTTAAAACGTTCACGACTTGTAGGAAAGAGAAAGTGTCAGCACAAGTCAGGAGAGTACCGGCCGTCTAAAGCCCGATAGTCTCTGCTCAGTTCCAGAGACAACAGGGAAGGGGCGACCATAAGCTCAAACAGGTCCAGGGCGGTCAGGGGCCGCTGGAAGGTACCATCACCACACAGGGAAGGAAGGAACGGAAGAGAGAAGGAAGGGAGGACAGAAAACAATTATAATCTTATTATAATGATTAAAACAATTGAGACAATCAGTTGGAAATCATTTATAGAAAACAGTGCAGCTACAACATATGATAAAAAGGATTATGACATTGACTGTGTGAGTCTAACACACCAAGAAATCTTCAAATTTCGCCCAATTGTTGCATCAATTTTCTGCAAAAATCCGAGAGAAAATAAGTGGACTGGATGTCAACCATTTTAGCTTCATTATACTCTCGGCAGGGTATCTATGGCGAGAGCATACTGAAGCTAACAAAAGCTGCCATCCAGAGTAGATAACAAAAATGTGGTCCATAGTTTGGTTCTCATGAAACCAACTCATCTTAAGTCGACCTACCCCGTTCATGTCTAGGCCAGGGTTGGCGAACCCTTCGGACTGAGCCTTCTCGATGTACCCCGCATCGGGCTGCTCCTTGTCCCGCACCCCGGCCGTGGCGTACGGAGCCGGGCCCAGCCAGCTCAGGACCACCGGCAGGAACACCAGCCCGTGCAGGCACCCGAACACAACCACCAGGAAAAACACCTGAACAGGGAAGAAAATATTCTCGTTATAAATCTGACAATAATGTGCTTACAAGTGTTGACAGCCACTCCAACACTTTTAAGCACAAAGAGTATGGCGAGTCTTCTGGTGTCACTGATAGTCCTTGTGTTGGCGTCCTTTCCTAGCTCTTCCCTTTGCCTCGCAGCTACTATCTACTAATGTGCTTACTCTTCACATGACATACGATCTTTTTTCGAATCAAGGCGTTCTTTTGTTCGATCCAGGAATATCTTTTATTCGAACCGAGGATTCGAACATTATTTGTTCGGCATCGGGTCAAGATCTCCTTTGTCGAACCGGGGATTCGAAGATCATTTGTTCGAATCAAAGGAACATTTTTGGTGTGCGCATTCATGTTTGCTTATCTAATAATAGTATGTCATTTTGCATGCTTTGTAGCATAAGCACAATACATTTTACACTTTCAATTGCTGAAGTGCAGATCAGTACCTGCATTTGCCTACCTTACCTTAAAGAATGTGATGAATACGTAAGAGTTGGATGTGGCCAGCAGCACGAAGGCCAGGAAGGTGCTGAACCCTCCGTTGAAGACGGCCGGTCCCATGTTGACTAAGGCCAGACGAGCTCGGTCTGAAAAAGTCAAAGATTATTTCCTTTACTAAGTGTATCTTTTTCTCTCTTTTTTTTTTTGGCAGCGACGCAGCTTAGGCACAAAAGGCTGAAAAAAGTAAACGTATGTTTCAAACCTTACGCAGCTTTGATATACCAACTTCAGGCACAGAAATGGCTGTACAATCTAACAAACAGACGACCCTTACCCTGCCTGGTGCCGCTGATGGTGAGGAATGTGTGACAGATGTGCGCGGCGTAGTCCACAGCCAGCCCGATAGCCAGGATCATGATGTTTGTGGTCACCGTGTCGATAGTCAGGCCCCAGTGGTGCATCATTCCACCCACGTCTACCTGTCAACAGGGCATAACGGCTTCCATATTAGAAATTAAAATACGGCACTGGAGGTGATATCATTTCCCCAACATTCAAACGTGTTCTAATAACATTCGAGCGCGACATTCGAATAACATTCGAGCGCGACAGTCAAACAACATTCGAAGAATATTCGAACGCTCGAACAGCATTCGAATGCGTTCGAATGTACATATGAGTCCACGGCAACAGAAAGTCCGTTCTTAGGGCGCGTTCGAAAGGTTTCTCTTTGACGTTTACAACTGATACGAATCTTTCACAACTAGTTTCTTGTGCTGCAAAAAAAACATCTAGCGTACAAAATAAGACTCTTGTACTCACCAGAGTGAGGACGACGCACAACAGGACCCACAGACTGCCCAGGATGTCAGCCAGCAGCAGCAGGGTGATGACGAACACAGCCGCCATCGCGATGCCCAGGTTACGGTATAACTCCAGCTTGATGACCTGGCAAACAAGGCAGAGCAGACACGACATTTTATGATCAGAGGAAATCTTTAAGAAGAGGTTTTACTGAGAGCAGATTACAATAAGCTAGCTGCTAATAGCTTAAGAAGAACTAAGTACTATAAGAAGATGACCAATGACGAAGGAAGGGGTCATGGCCCTATGTCTGGCTAGAGACGGAGTATTAGTAAACTATATAACATCTAATCCATAGGTAGGCTGTATTAATAATCTAAAGTTAATCTTATTAGATATGATTATCTTGAGTACAATATCAGAGCTTAGATTAGACTACGTACACTGTGCCCTATCAATAGGGTTCAAACAGGAAAGGAAGATGACATTTTGCACTTTAATCGTTCACAGTACAATTTATCAGTAACTTTGGAGCATAGGACAAGATAGTAGCGGTATAGAATATAGCACAACATAACATCCCAATTACTAAATAATAAGGGCTAGTATAAGTCTTTGATGCAGTGTTAAAAGCACTTTCAATCCGTACCTTGTTGGTCTCCCATCCCCTGTACTGCCTAGCGTAAGGGAAGGCGTCACCATTGAAGCCGACAGAATCAGTCACGGCGATCAGACTGTCCATGGCCTCGATTTCCTCAGCAGAGTCTCTTAGCGTCTTATACGTGCCGCGCATTCTGGACGCCTGAAGGACAAGAATTGAGGTACTGTGTTTATATAAGATGCTACACTGAATAGCAAAGTTTTTTTTTATTCACAACCACTTGTTTTACAAGAGCCGGCGTTTTGATGACCGTCTGTCATCTTCATCAGGGCAATTATGACTGGCTCACCGTCACTGAGACTAGGTCTTGCACTAGTGGCCCAGTCATATTGCCCTGATAAAGATGACAGACGGTCATCAAAACATTGGCTCTATAGTTAAACAAGTGGTTGCGAATAAATAAATTTGCTTTTCAATCATCAACCTGATGGAATAATTCACACAAGATTCTACAAGAATCTACACTGTTACGTAATTACCACAGTATACTAACTGATGTCTATTGCATGGAAATCGTATTGCTTGATGCTACAATGTCTTACAGTGATGGTGACGGGAGAGGTAGTGGAGTTCAGCTGCACGTCTGCCGAGTGGCTCCGTCCTGTAGCGTCTGTAGTCAGGAACTGAACAATCCACTGGTAGAAGGTGGTGCTATCCGTGGCATGGCCGTCTATAAAACATATACATGATACATTACAAACATGAATCATCATTGGGAAAATTATGATTCTGAAAATACAAGATCTTTTGATCATAAAAATCTTCCTAGTTGACATCTTGCCATGGGGATAGTGCAAGTTATCCGTTTGCAATGAATAGCGACATCGAACTGCCATTTAAAACACAGAGAACATAGAATGAATAGCTCTGGCTAAAAGGCGAGTTATATTCCCACAAAGGCCCTCACCTGGCCCGAGCAGGGTAGAATTCTTGGTAGAATTCACCCAAGTCTTGTAGTCCTCAAACCAGCTTGTCACGGTGCCATCTGTGACGTAGGTATCGTCCTCAAATCTCTGGTAAAGAGTGTGGAGTTTGGCTCTCTCTGCATAGTAGTCGATATCGCCTGTAATGTGTGCGGATACACATGTGAGTAGAGAACTACAGGCTGGGGTGTTTAGCTATGTGTTTCTGTGGATGGTGTCCAGCACCAAGGACAGGTATGTTTGCCTGTGTGTGGATGGTGTTCAGCACCAAGGACAGGCATGTTTACCTGTGTGTGGATGGTGTTCAGCACCAAGGACAGGTGTGTTTGTGTGTGTGGATGGTGTTCAGCACCAAGGACAGACATGTCTGTCTGTGTATGGATGTTGTTCAGCAAGAAGATCATGATTGTTAGAGAGTACATGTTCTAGTATTGCTGCAATGTTCATAGACAGTCCATGACAAGCAAGGGAATATGTTAACTAGGAAATGATGCTGAATATCATCACAAAAAGAATCAACATACCGACGTAAATGTCCACTTCGAAGCCATCATCGGGAAAGTACTGTAGAAGATAATCAAAAAGAGATTATATTCAACATACATTCAAAAGATACTACATGTAAATGCTATACAATGTATATAATCAAAAGGAACTTGCTTGCTGGTTGTGTAGTGGCGTGCCTTAGACTCCCATTGGTTGGGATTTGAACCCCCTCACTGAATTGCATCGATAATTTTGAGATCTTACCGCTTCAGTTTTAGTCAGGTACTGTTTGAGGTAGGAGCCGTCGGGCAGGAACCACGTGGAGTCGAAGTTCTGCCTCAGGTTGATCATGCCCCAGATACTGACTCCCAGAACGGCGGACACCACAATAAGGGTAACGATCTGCGGGGTAACGTAAATGGCAGGTGGTTTGAGTCTAGTGAAATCTATTATTTTGCCAACCATTCAGCCACTAGTTTTACATAAAATGTAAAATTAAAGAAGAAGAAGTCAAACCCCACAATAGCAAACGTAGTACATTGTAATATCATATATTAAGTTCACCAGATGGTAGTTGCATATTCTCTATTGCCTTTAATTACTTTACTTCTTTGATCCTGTACAGTCATGCAATTAGCCTTAGGGCATGATTGTATTCTATACTTACATGCAATACGTAGTGTAAGTTCCAGAAACAAATCAACTTCACTTTCACATTAGAAACCTCACCAAATCTAGTTGATTTACAGACCTTGCCAGGTATGGTCAGCAGGTTCGGAGCGTAGATCTTCTGGAAGAAAAGTTGCAGACGATCCTTCTGTGAACACTCCGTGGGCTTGTAGTCGGGCTTGTGCCTGTAGCAGCAGCAACATGCGTTTCGCCGGCCCTGGAAACCGTACGTAACGAATAATATCATAAGAACAACGTAACGAATAATACCATGATAACACACTACATGTTTCCTTAACAAGTGTGCGCTAAAAGCCAATGTGAGGGGTACGTCGATAGACATGCAGGTAATAAGATACTCCAAAACAGTTACTCAAGCAAGTGGATATGATTTTAGGAAACTGTAAGGAGTATATGTACTTACAATGTTATACAAATCGTGCTACAGTTAGCTTTTCTATGTATAGGTTAACAGAGAAATGCAATTTTCGTACCTCCCAGCGCTGAAAGTCTAGGCACATGACGGCGAAGAACAGGGTACAGGAGTACACGAACACCAGGAAAATACTGACGGCCGCGTAGATACAGAAGGACTGCAGGGCTGGCAGGATCTGGGAGACATGACATTGGCACATCTTTATGTTTTTAATAGATACAACATGAGGCTAGAGGACGATGGCTTTTGTATGTGTATATTTACAGTTAGACGGTCACAGACGCGTGAGGGGGGCGCTGGGGCAATACGTCCTATCAGTATTCGAACGTGTTCTAAAGTTCTAAGAACATACGTGCAGCACATTCGAACATATCGAACGCGTTCGAAAGTTCTAAGAACCCATACTGCATCACACGCGCTCGAAATGGCATTTCACGGAAAAGACGTGTTGTGATACAGATGCCTTTTAGTCTCACTCATTTTATGGCGTTTATTTTAAGGATTAGAAAGATGTTGCCTACCGTGGAGGCCCCAACTCCGAAGGCCACGACGTCCGTCATGGATGTGACGGTGATGGAGACGCCGGCGTGTTTGAGCGCCAGCGCCGCCTGATGCCGCCGGTCCCGCTTCTTGTCAGCAGGGGACAGGTTGTTCCACGCGCTCACAACAACAAACATGTCGTCAACGCCGATTCCTGGAGAATGGAAAGAGGAAAGAAACTTGAACGTTTGTCATCATCATTATAATTTATCTATCCGTATCTTTTAATTATCCGACCGTTGGGGCACAATCAGATTAACTGACAACCATTTTCTCTGCCCTTCTTGGCTTTCTGTCTCTCTGTTACTCCTCTGGTGTTAAGTTTCACTTAATGTCATGCTGGCCTATTCTCTCTTAAGTAACCCCCCCCCCCATCTTTTCCGTTGGGTCATTATATCAGTGGATTATCTATGATATTCAATTCATTTTATTATGCTTATCCTTTGAGTTGATGAAACCCAGAGACACGTACCTAGGATGAGGAAGGGCAGGATGGAGTGGACCGGTCCGTACGCGGCGCCGGCGGCAGAACAGATCCCCATGGACCCTATGATGGACAGTCCCACGCACAGAACACCCATCAACGACACGTAGATCTGCAGAAAAATACACATAGCGTTGGCACTCATGTGACTATGACATAATTTAGACTCCACCATTTTGGATGGTTAAAACCTTTGCTGACATGAAGGTCTGTAACTAAAGCTCTATGACATACCTAAAGCTTCCTTCGGTAGCCAAAAGGCTCCTGTCATATCTACTTGGATTTGCCAGTTTACATGTCAAAGCCTGCCATTTGTAATACTACTCTTTCCAAGTACATCGATGAAGGTTAGACGCCCAGGTAATGAGATACACAACATACTGTTACTCAAGCAACTGGATATAGATTTTGAAAAATGCCAGACGTTTCAAGGAACACTAAATAATTTTCGTCAGTGACCAACAGGATCAGTTGAACAGGTATTTATCCAAAATATATAATGACTGTAATGAGTATGAATTGGACTAAGTAAAATTACATTCTGCTCGATGCAGTTAAACTTGCCCAGCACCATGGCGACATAGCCGATGATGAGGAAGTACCCAGCTGACAGCAGAGTCAGGTCGCTCTGGATCGCTCCCCCTCCCTCGTCTCCGAAACTGCGGAGGAAAATACAGGAAGTTAGTGCCCACGTGACTAAGCTGACGTCACTAACGTCCGCCATGTTGATGGGTTACAGACACTAGCAAAGAACATCTAATTTACGATCTAATTTAAGATTTAATTTATTTTCAGTAATAATTTAACTACCAAAAAGCATATGGGAGAAGAGAAAAAGTTTCAACTTTTGTCTGTTACCTTCTTGTGGCAAATGGCGTCACCGTGACCCCATCTGACCTCTTTTGCTGTGCCACCTCCAGAAATCCCTTCTCCCACTCGTTCCTGATCTCATCAACCTGTGACGTAAGACGGTTACGTAATTAGGGTCATGTGACTGTGACGTAGGTCAACGTCTGCCATCATGTCCCAGACTTCACTCTAGGCCATGATGACTCTAGCTTTGTCTGTATTTTACATCAACCTTCTACCTGTCATACCTAGTAGTAGCCTAAACGGCAAATAAGCACCAAATATTTGTTGGTTACAGGGTTAGGCAGCAGGGATTTTTTTTCTTTACTTCATAATCACTACAAAACAAGGCTTATAAAAGCCACTCATAAGAAGAAAGAGCACAAGACAACGAATGATTTGATTATTGAAGCAATAGTTAGAAATAACTTTCGTCTTCCACCAAATATTACAAATGATGATCTTACCCTCTCTCCCTGCCTTTCTACGCTCTGGTCCTTGACAGAGTACAGCATAGTGGTGGCCCTGGCACCGGATATCAGACCTCCGGAGTCCCGCCTGATTTCTCCCAGCACGGCCTCAACATCGTACGGCCGGAACGTCACTGGGCTGGGATATATACGTAAGGTATTTATGGTTCCCATATACACTTTTATATATACATAAAGTCGTTCTAATGTGTTGTTACACTCGATCCTCTTCCTAGTACAGTGTAGTAGAAATGAAAGGAGAAAGAAAGCAAAGAAGGTGACATTGATTTTTTTGGAAAGAAAGATAAGAAGTTTTAAGTATTCCTTTAAATCTGTTACTCGAACTCACACATTTTTGTGCAATGTTGTATGACTTAACATTTGGGTGAGAAGCATCTGGTATTCAGTGGGGTATGTGTTGATATAGTTTTGCCACACAAAGATTGACAGATAACCCATTTTTCCTGTGTACCTTATGAGGTTGTTTTGGTTGACCTTGTCCAGTATGTTCTGCTGTGTCAGTCCGTTGATGGTGGTCTCGTCAAAACTCCACAGCTCAAGCAGGCTACTGGACCAACAGTTAGGGCCGATCCTGTAATAAAGGTAAGGAATAAATTTGATATGAGATGCTTAAATTAAAAATATACCAGAGAATGTTAAAGATGTAAGATGCCTTTTAGGTCAAGTTTTTATGCATACTTCCATTGCTGTTTCACAAGGACAAACCAAGTCATGATATTATGCTTTTCCACCCTTCTAAATGTGCAAGTGTCGATGCAGATTCAATTTCTCCTATCACACAATCGCAACTGCGACTAATGGAGATCTGTCAACCACTGACAGCATTATCAATGCGTGTGTCAGAAAATTTTCTACTTACTGATAACATATCGATGTCCAGTTGGCAGCATCTGTCGACACGTTCTTTAGCGATGTGTCTAATGCGAGCATCTGGCGAAAAAGGAACAAGGTAAGTGGGGTACATTGTTACAGCGTAAGAATATCATGGCAGTCAATGAAACCAAGAAGGCCCCTTTCTAGCCGCGATCTAGTGGTAGTAATAGAAGGCCGCTAGGGTGCCAAACTGTGATCTATAGGAACGTTATCTTCCAAAACGCAATCAAACATTGAAACGAAGCCTGCGCAAATGGCCACAAGTGAACCCAAATAGAATCCGCGTTCTGTTCGAGTTACGTCAGATCGAACACAGTCGAACACGGGTTCTGGTTCTAAGAAAAAGTGGAACACGTGTTCGGTTCGAATTACGTGAGATCGAACACGGTCGAACACACGTTCTGGCTCTAAACCAAAAGTCGGATACTTTAGGGCAGTCCTAAAATGTCTTACCGCTTGTAACACAGACGGAGCCAGCACGTTGTCGGCCTCGATGAGCACAAACTCGAAGCGGAACTTTGCCGGGAACTTCTCGGAGACCCAGTTCTCGTGGACCAGCGCCTGGGAGCCGTACGGAACCCACAGCTTCTCGGCCCGGCTCTCCTGGTAGAACTTCACCATCCCGGCACTCAGGGACCCGCCAAGGAGCAGCGTCAGAAGGATGGTCAGCCATGGGTGACCGGCAACAAGCTTACCAAGTCTGGGAACAGGAAGAGTCAAGGTCTCATATGAAAGTTCATCTAAACGTTGTTTACATTACACGTTTAAAGTATAATTCTGGTTCCAACGCAAAAGGGATTGTTCTCGCCTGGAGATTTCGACCAGTCACTCTTGTCTTCTGTGACTAGGAGAAAACTCTAGCTGAGAACAATAAGTTAACGATTTTACGTTATGTAAAGGTATCATACCTTGTATTGGAACAAAAGTTTTAACTTTAAACAACTTTTAACTTTAAATCAACTGAAGGTGTTTGCAGTGTGGCTTTTGAATAGGTCAGGAATTTTTCCATTCGCACTGGAATAGGTTTCCATTTAAATCAACGTGTTTTGCTTCGATATAACATTTAGAGAATGCCAAGCTGTGAATAAGCCCACATCTCAGAAATTGGTGTGCATTTCGATCGACCGGCTGCCATTAAAATATTTTTAATTTGAAATTCCAACTCCACTGGTTGCATAGTTACGACATTTTGGAGCTATATGACTTGAAAGATGATCAGGTATGAAAAGCTATAACTGCGCTGCTCCGGAATTAAAAATGAATTATTAATAAGCAGTACTAGCAACAGGCTTTCAGTGTTTTTTAATCATCGTTTGGGCTACAGAACGTTATATTGAAAACGCTCGATAAACTAGAAATTAACCGTTTTGAACTCTTTGTCTTGGCTTTACGCACAGACGTGTGATTTTTGAGCAAGTATTTGGTACGAATATCGATCAACCACCCGTTATTGGTGACGTGGAAAACAGGTCAGTCATATCAATTACACAAATTGAAATCGATACGTCATACTCAGAATACAGTGCAATTTTCTTGTCCATCATATTGCAATGAAACAAAATAAAAAAAAAACATTCTGGGAAAATTACACAAAATGTAAACGATTAGAAGCTCAAAAGATCAAATTACAAGACCAGGTTATTTTAACATGTCAAGCGCTGGTCAAGCGCTAAGTATGTAATTTTGAATGGAACAACGAATAGTGTCTGTCCACTTACAGTGCGAATACGTTCGATCGGAATCGTGACAGTTTTTTTTCTCTCATATTATTTTGTAATCAAAACGACAGAAAAAGACGCCGAGTTTACAGACACGCCGTGCCCCTACGTTTTGTTGTAACTGGGGAAACGCACAGTACAGACAAATGATGAAAAATTTATGAATAACAAAAGCCGCCCCTTGGGAGCGCGCCAGGGTTATTGACCGAACGGGCACAGGAATCTCCAACGTACGTGACTTGCAATTATAAATATTCAATATTATAGGAAGGGTTTTTGAGGAGCAGTGTAACCTAACTAAATAGTAAGACGATTGTGCGAATGAATCAATAGCTAATTTTCCATAAGAGGATTTTTAAAATGCTGTTTCAAAGATCCGATTACGATCGACCATACTAATACAGGAAAAAATTCCTCCCCTAATGGTAATGCTAAACAAGAAATACGTTTCTTCGCATGTTGGTTCAAATGTTACAGAAATTAGATCAGAAAATATAAACATCTTAATGTGTACCGAAAGACTCCTTATTTCAGCTTCTATTTTATTTTACACCGCGAAAACGACAGTCTATTGTATATACTGACATGTGCGTAAACAGGTCAACGTTCTTATGAGATGTAGTTGTACAGTGGAAAATTTGGGTGAGTCCAAATTTGATCATAAGAACGTTGACCTGTTTGTTGCACAATCAAGATAAAGCCAACGTTCTGTTTCGTTTTCACTTGTGCTTTGGTATTTCTTATACTGTATGATAAAATCTGCCATCATTTCTTACAGTCATCGAATATCAAACTGTACCCAAAACTGTGGATGTGTGACAGGATATATCGGTTGAAGGACACCCATGCTGACATTTAACCTCGTTATTACGGTAGGTTGCCCCCAGGCTCTCTAATTTCCCGGCACAAATGCTTGGTTCGCTTCGCATGGCAACAAACACTTTAGCACGCATTGCCCGCACTACAGGATATAATAGCCCATACATGTGTTGGTGGCAAAACACTTATCTACAATAGCATTGCGACCTTTATGATAATCTATCCGAAACACTTTTCTAAAACTCTACATCACTAAGCTTCCACGGGTTTGAAAATTCATAATGTTCAGATAGAAAGAAATCATGATTCTACTGCATACTGTAGTACTGTAGTATCAAGGTCGAACAATCCCCTTGGTTGTATACAAATGGGTCCTATATATGATTAGGAGCCAACTAAACGGAAGGTGTATGTAAAGAAGGCTGTGAGGGGTAGAGAAGACCGGTCTTGCTTGATATAATTTGAAGAAGGTTTAAGCCTTCTTGGTTACATGTCCTAGAGGAACGGCTAGTGATGTTTATGTATAATTATCCTAGACTTGTCTGTCTTATCAGGTAGTGCTATCTACCCGGCATTGGCAAGATAATACATTTTCTTAAACTAAAAAATGTCCTTACCTGTAGAAGAATCCTTCTAGAGCCGACACAAAGACGTTGCTACATCTCTTCATACAGTTGGGCTTCTTAGCTTTTTCCCGTGGATCCTCTGACTTGGCAGCCATTTGTTTTGGTAGTCGCGTCAAGCCAGCTTGGCACGGTCAGATCGCGGCAGGCTACGGGAAGGATTGGCGCATACTAATATAGCACAGCATCACAATTCACTATCGGGTGGCGCGAAATGATTAACTGCTATGCTGAGGAAATGATCATGAGTTGAGACTAGTAAAAATCCACAGCAGAAACAGAATATTCTGTGTCTATCGCGCCGGTCCAGATATGCAAATGAGCCGGCTGTTACACAACCGGACAAAGCCGATGATAGGTCGACGGGCGGTTACGTAACGATTCTTTTATTCTTAGCGTGACACCTGACCTGGGGGTGTGGCTAGGGATTTCTGGGGCAGGGAGCCAGCACATGTAGCCACAACGTGAGGGCCGGACGGTATCAGTTTCCATTCAAAATAATAGCGTGTGTAGTCCAGTGATTATGCCGGACAAAGAGGTTGGGAGTTCGAATCCCGGCTTTTGTCGCTCACCCAACATGCTCACTACTGTTAAGGATCACAGTCCTGGACGGGACGTTAAGCTGTGATCCATTGTTCATGAGCCTGAGGGGGGTTTTCCCGGTGCAATGAACCTGTAATAATGTTAGTCTCTACCAGACTAACTACGCTGGCTATGTAGGAGAATAATTGCCAGGGGAGTTTGGCCGCCTTGTAGGTTTGACAGTTAAGCGGAGAGAAAGAAACTACCCCCCCACGGCCGGACTCCCCTGGCCAGTTTTACTCTCTTTTTTTGCCAACTTCTATGATCCGTATTCCCGTAGGAAGGCCTGGTGGAGGCTATAATAGTGTATTGATAGCGCCTGTCTTCTGTCACGACCATTGGGACCACTTTTTTTTCCAAAACAGGCTTTTCTTTCCAATGTGCAGAAACGTCGCGTCGATAGATGAAACAATTAAGATTCTGTACGTATGAAAACTACTTAGAATGTTAAATTGAGTGTACCAACCTGATAAAACTACTAACGTGGGGGTATCACTTTCCATATTTAATCAGGCTTTACCATTTACCAACTACATGATATCATTATGTAGAGATGTAATGTCATTGCTTTTACTGACAGTGTATCTTGTTGCATTTGTGCGTGTATTGGTGGGGGGGTAGTGTCACAACAAGAGATATATACTAGATAAATAAATGATGCATTGTCTCAAACGCCTGTGGTTTCAAGGTGGCATGATATTCAACTTTTCCAGTTTTCTCTCTCCTCCGTTACAAGCTACATTTTGTAAATTATGGCTATACTTTCCATCATGAGACCAAGCATAGCTATAGACACCGTGTGTCATGAGATCCAATTGAAAAGTACTGCAAGATAATGTGTTTCGCGACCGAAGATATACGCATCCTGTAGCACTAGTTTTAACATATACAAAATGGTTATGGATATGAAACATATAAGACTATATCTGATTGGTCGATGGCCGGTGACGTCACGTAATGTGAATTTAGGCGGGAATTTCAAGATGGCGGACGTCTGAAAACAGGTATGTTTAGTACATATCTACCGACAATACCGACATCTTTGACATCTAGTAGTCAACGCCAAAAGCTGTGAAATGAATTCAAGGTTGTGTTGGCGTTCAAGGACGACGTACAGTTACAAGTCTGTGTACACTGTCAACATGGAACCCAATAGTATGGCTCTGACTATTTGTAAACACTGACGCATTACAAGTTGTAACACGAACCGAAAACTGTGCACTACTGAGCTAAACTACGCTTTCCTGCCACCGAGGAATGGCTATACGATTATAAGCATGGCATGTAGCTCGAACACTATCTATAGCACCATGTGTAAGTACCATTGGCACATTTATGTGAAAGTTAAAGCTCACTGAAGGCGTGTTTTCTATGCACGACTGAGCCGGACACATCATAACAAGTGATTCCTACCTTTGACCCCTGACCTCACCCAGGTCACCACGCCTGATTGCCCATTTTGATTAGCCACAACATTTTTCCAACTCCCTCAAACATTTGCCTTGTAAGCAAGTATCTGTATGAAACTAATGTTTTTTGTAGCCAATTTCTTTGCTGATATGAGGTAAGAGTTTTCTTTTTCTGTTAGAATATATATTTTGATATAATTCGTACAATCATGTATTTAATATATAGTTTGGTGGAGTGGAGAAGGATGCTGAGTAGACAACTAGACGCAAACTACTCATGAGAAGATGAAAAAAACATGTACATGTACATGTAAGTATTATGGTTTTACCTTGGGTAAACAGATATACTGAACCATCCACTCATTATAATGAGGTTTGACTCCAGAAAAAAAGCTAAGCTCCTGACATATGCACTGTGCGTTGTCGCCCTCTGGCGGAATGCATTATATTGGCACCGCTTTTGATTCAGTGCAGTATACATCTCTGGTTGCATTCTTCCTTTCTGTAAGTTACCAATCTGCCAATAGCATACTCAGATCTTTACTTGGCTATAAATGGTAATACATGTACTCTCACTATAGACTAACCCAGGGACACACACACACACACACACACACACACACACACACACACACACACACACACGACACACGACGACGACGACACACACACACACACACACACACACACACACACACACACACACACAACACACACACACACACACACACACACACACACACACACACACACACACACACACACACACACACACACACACACACACACACACACACACACACACACACACACACACAAACAAGCTCAGACTTACAAAACTTTTGTGAAACATGAGAGAAGCTAGATAATTATCTTTAAACTGTATTTTAAGCAAAAACGTAACTGTTTCGATGAAATGTCAAATACAACATGTAACAATGCGTAATAGGTGCAAACAAATGTAGAGGAAACGACATGGCGTTACTTACTGTGTTTTGCAGGTAAAAAAAATTACCACATGTCACATTGGTGAGGGGAATAAGTTCAAACCGAATTATGGCGTGTGTGATAATGCAAGGTAGCGAAGTACATTTCTTATACCCATGTTGTCAATACAGTTTATAAATACATTCGTACTTCAATGCAGCAGCAATATCAAGAACATAGTACTCTCTCACTATACTCTCTCTCTCTCTCTAATATATATACATACCAGCGAGTTCATCATGGATGCATTTGGCATTGTATTTTTAGGAAGCGACTGCAACTGCGTACCAAAGCTCAAAAATAAGTACGTTTGTTTGCCCATCGTTGATTCTGGATGCAGTGACTACGAACATTTTGGCGGGAAAATGACCTATTTTGATTAAATGTATGTAATTCAAACAACCCAAAAAACTTACTATTTGTGTCATAGTCTCCTATAGTCAAAATATGCAAAGGCGATAAGTATATATCTGAGGTAGAGGAAAATGAACTTTATAGAACTTTTTTTCCAGCGCCATTTACCTTCCACCATGTTGGTGGGTTGATACGTCACAGTCACGTGAATACAAACACCCAATGGAAACCTTAGTTTTCGACGAATCAGTCAGGTTTTGTGTCTATCTCGCCTTTCTTAGCAAGTCAGTAAAGTCACTTACGTAAATCCAAACACAGTATCTTTTTTAGATTCTAAATTTTCTTAAGATAAGGTTATCATGTCTCCGGAGTAGAAAGGTGGATAGACTACACATGTGAAGTTCTACTCCTTACTGCATAGCACAGCGAGTTGGTCATAGATTCTTTGCAACCCTCAGCATCGCTCGACTTACTCTCCAAGCAGAGGTTTGGGTTTCGGCTTATTCTGGCGTGTTTTGTAGGCGTTTTTGTCTGCCTTTCAATTTTTTACTGGCACCTTTTGTACGCCAGCCCCGGACGATGGCAAATTCATACTGTCTGGCCAATGGATACTGTCTGGCCAATGGATACTGTCTGGCCAATGGATACTATCTGGCAAATGGATACTGTCTGGCAAATGGATGCTGTCTGGCAAATGGATACTGTCTGGCAAATGGATACTGTCTGGAAAATGGATACTGTCTGGCAAATGGGTGGATACTGTCTGGCAAACTGGCAAATGGATACTGTCTGGCAAATGGATACTGTCTGACAAATGGCTATACTACTGTCTGGCAAATAGATACTGTCTGGCTAATGGATACTGTCTGACAAATTTGACACTGCCTTTCCAATTTGATACTGTATTTCAGAGTGCTGACACCCAAAATTTCTGCTTGGAGATTACGCCCTCCTAGCCTGATGCTCCTATGTCTACCTTGCTAAGACGAGCTATTATACACGTTCTCTATCAACGATAAATCTTACTTTCTTAAGAATTGATGTAAGAACTATGTACAGTTGTAAGTCCTTTTTAAATGTACCGAGTTCGTGCATTGCAGCGTCACGTAGAAGTTTTAAACGTTTTTTTTTTCCTTTGATCACATCAAGGTGCACTTTCCTTTCAGTTTGTCCCTTCTTCGCGATTTGCACTTCTTCCCCTCGACTTGTAAACTCACGGATCTCCGCTTTTCCATCTGCAACAATTCCTGAAACAACTCCTTCACATTGTGGTTGGTCTTTGCGGAGGTCTCCATGTGGGCAACGGTCCATTTCTTGGCCAACTCGCCCCCTTCCTGCATCGAAATCTCCCTATGTTGGACCTCGTCACACTTGTTACCGACTAGCATGACGGGAATGCTATCCATGTTGCACTTGATGTCCCTTATTTGGTCATAGATGGGTTTAAGCTCCTCCAGTGATTGGCGGCTGGTGATGGAGTAGACCAATACGAAGGCGTGGCCCTTGGTGATTGACAGGCGCTGCATGGCGGGAAACTGGTGACTGCCGGTGGTGTCGGTGATCTGGAGGGTGCAGACATTCTTGTCACAGCTGATCACCTACAAACGGCAAGGTGGTTAGTAAAATTAAAGACTGCACTCTGTTCTAGTCTGTACGACTTGAATGAATGGAAAATGTTAAGAATGTCCACTTGAATGTACTCAAGTGTAGATGATTTGGCAGTGTGCAAAGAAGATTAACATACATTTCACCAGGCACTATCAGGGCCCGCCACCCTTACTCAACCGCGACGGAGGACGACATCGTCTATCATGTACCTTTGACCCAATGTTGACGGCATACTTCAGAGAAACCAAGTCTTACTGGGTCAGTCTACTGAGGAAGACCGGAGTGACTGGTAGAAAACTCTAGGTGAGAACATTTCCCTTTGTGTTGGAACAAAAAAAAGTCATTAAAAGTCGAAGTACCACTAAGACTCTTCATGCTTGCAGTACACATACCTGCCGATAGGCTTATTCACCACTAAGACTCTACATACTTGCAATACACGTACCTGCCGGTAGGTGTCCTCTATAGTCGGGATGTAGTTCTCCCGGAACGTCCCGCGAACGAAGCGCAGCACCAGGGAACTCTTCCCGACACCCCCCGCGCCGAACACCACCACGCGGTAGTCGTTACTTGCCTCGGGCATGACTCTGAGATGGACGGTTTTGTTATTCAGCTGGAAAAAAGGAAAAAAATAATTAATTGTTATTGAGCTGCAAAAATAACAACAGAGAAAACATTTGTCTATCGTGTCCAGAACGGTGCCTATCGTGGTATCTAGTTCTATGCCTGAATACATGTAGATTAGGGTTAAGATCAGGGTTAGCTATAGGGATCAGGCCCGGTTCTGGATGGTGTCCAATATCATAGGTTTGCCTCGGGTGCGGTTTTGGATACGCGTGGACTATGCGGAACCGTGTCCGAGTATGGTTCTGGATAAAACACGGTTCTGGATACGTGTGGACTATCCAAGACCATGTCTGGCATGGTAAAAATTAGATGAAAAAAATCAACTTCATGCCATTTCTTTATCCATGGTTCACCTGCTCTATTCATTATATATTCCCATACATTCCATGTACCTGTATGCGAGTGAGACTTAGCATATAGCCTTAACCCCCATACACTCAATGTAACAACACGAGGATCGAATCCACCTCATGTACTGTGCCAAGTATTCATGAGCATCATTTCTACCTGAACTCACGACTTTAAAACAGCCTTCAATCAGCCCGGCTGCACAAATCTGATTGCCAGGGAGAACAAAGACCGACTTGTTACTTTATTGATCTACGAGCGAAGAAAGCTCGAGTGAAATCGACCAAGGGCAGGCCGGTTAGGACCAAGTCTTCCATTCCCACCACGCGTACAGATTTTAGGTGTGAGATGACTACAGATGAACTAGCCTGGCACCAACTCATCGAGAGCTCCACGGGAGCTCCTCGGTGCTTGGATTGGTGCCCGCCCGCCCAGGTCAATTGACGCACTACGATGCAATTTTTACGGGATGTGGTTCAGTTCTTGTCACATTGTTGAATTTTTAAACTGTGAAAGAACCAACCACTGACAAGGATCTAGGAAATGTGACTAGGATCTGAGATATCCGTGTCTATAAAAAGACAGCCGAATCGTATACTGTTTACAACATATGCACAAGAATGTCCTTATATTGCGTTCATGCGAAGATCGTACGTTGAATGGGACCAAACCCATGCCTAGCTTACAGCTACAATCGGTTGTCGAAAAAGAGCCAATGCTTAGCAGGAATGAGGAGGCTGGTAATACACCCCTATGCTAAATCTGTAAGCAGAACGTATGTGGCTGCAAGACAGTACCAAGTTGGTAACACAGTAAGTATCAAATTGGCAGGCCAGTATCCATTTACCATCCGTTTTGAATGCGTAAAAATGAAAGCTCGACAAAAACACCTAAAACACGTAAAAACACGCCAAAGCCTAAACCTCTGCTTGAAGCGTACCCCTTTGCCAGAGCCATAGGATGGCTATCAACTCCTGATCATGATTGCTTTGGTGGTTGCAAGATAGTACCGAATTGACAGGACAGTATTCATTTACCATCCGTTTGGTTGGCATAAAAAAGATACAAAGACAAAAAGAAAGCCCGACAAAAACACCTAAAAACGCGTAAAACATGCTAAAGCCTAACTTCAGCTTGTAGAGTACCCCTTTGCAAGATCCATAGGATAGCTATCATCTCCACAGCATGATTGCCAGGATCACGGTGAATGTCTCGTTCTTGGATGTCTGACATTTTCAGCAGCGATCCGTTTTCCTTAGCCGTTAGACCGACCTCAGCCTGATTAATTGTAATTGGAAATTTGCCCCTAGTCTGAGACACGTTATCCGGGATAACGTCATCTAAAATATTCATACAATTCCGCCCGCCACATCCGTTTCAATGATACCGTGGACGTTTTTTTTGGCGACAGTCGTTTGGTATCTTTTTTATTACGACTTCGGCGGATGCAATTAAGAATGCATGATGACTAGATAAGACTGTACTTTTCATGGATGAAACCAACAATCACCACTGTCTGTGCAATATAAATATATCTTTATGCACATTATTGGCAATAGCAAAAGGTTAGGTGGTAGCTTGGGCTATTTCAAACCTGAGGGGGAAACATTAATAATATCTTGATGCACATATATATGAAGAAGCCTACAAGACAAAACCAGTGTGTGAAAGGCTGAATAAAAGTTTTAAAAGGGAACTATTTAGTACCTTCTAGTTTTGAGTAGAAGGTGTTATATAAACATCTTTTTCTTTTTGCCCAATACTCAATAAATATATGTGAATAAATAAATCTATGTAGTATGCGGCCCCAGATGTACGATTGCAGTAGTGTGATAGATGTCGGTTAGCTTGAGGAATGACCCCACTGTACTATATATATATATATATATACATTAATAATGATATCTTGAGTTATAGTATATCGAAACACAAATGTACGCAAACAAACTGACACAGACACACACAGGCAGACACGGAAATTACATACATAGTTCACGAAACCTCCTCACATAGACACATCGCACTGAAAACCACACAGTTGAAGGTAATGAAAACATGATATGTTACCCAAGAAAAAATGGCATACAGCACGGCGAATTGAAGCTGACGTATGGTTTTGTTGTCATTGATTACACGTATATTGGATACTAAACACTAGATAAGCACACCAAAGCTCCTAAAGGATGACAAACGTTTTCTGAAACACAGTCAGCATTTTTATGTCTCCGGTATTGTGTGATTGGTAAGCCGGGATGCTAATGAGACTTTGTGGTGAAAACGACTCTTACATTCACCTTCTAAGAAGGGAGGGCAATATCCGAGCAATAGATCGTTTATGTATAAACTACATACGTACACACATTAGTAGCAATCACCAAGAAAAGAATTAAAATAATGGAATACAGCAAAATTGTTCCCATTCCGTACTAAAATGTCCTAATTTAGAATCATATTAAGGTTGTATATAGTGTATGTCTTCCGTATCATTGTAATTAGAATGTTCACTAACTCAATTCTCATCATTAGTAAATGCAATTGACGATAATTCGATCAGACGTATTTAGGTTATGACTAAAACATTATATGGCACAGCCTGTGCTCAAGACCAATGATGAGGCAAGATCCATAATCCACTGATACACTGTGCGCAGCCAAGCTTGGAAAAGAAAAGACCCAGTAAATGGCAGTAGGTCTGCTGAAGTCGTCTATTCAGGATTCGTTAATCATTTAAAAGCAAGTCGTAATATAGAAACCGTAATCCGTCTTCGCCCAGAAATAGATTTTGTGGGATTTGGATGGATTATTCAACGTTGAAATTACGGTTACGATATTGCTTGGATTCCACATGAATGCGCTCTAATCCAATCAGGTACACATCAAGGCAGTTCTGGATTTAAACCTAAAACGTGGACAGTGCATATTCATTTTCTGTGAACGTCTATACATTTCTTAACACTTATCCAATAGACAATATTTTGACATTATCCACAGAACTACTGTAACAGTAAATGAACCTCGAACAGCGAGCCCTCAAGCATGCTGTGAAAATTGAACAATAAAACGTCCGTCGTGGTGAAATTTTGCTAAAGGTTCACCAGACCCACTCATATATAACGTAACTAAATGTCAACGCTTCGGTTTGCCGTTCTTGTATTCTCACTGTGTAGCATGTAGAGCTCTAACAGAAATCAATCTACTTGGCAGACTAGCTTAAACGTAAGTCATTAGTCCCTAATTTCCTCTTCTGCTCATGATAGAAACCCTGGTAATACTCATATATTCACGGCAATGACCAAGGCAGCAGCGTGCTGGTAATATTGAGCGGATATTACCACAAACTTGCGGTATATTGTCCGTACGTTCAGTATTACAGACACTGCCTTGGCAAGCAGGGCATGGTATGCTGCGCACAATTGCAGCCAGTATGGCCTATACACAATTCAATATCGTAGAGAATCTACATGCCAACAACATCCCTTTGCTTGCAAAAAAGGGCGTTTTGCTTATACTGTCATATTCTTACAGTCCTCATCTTGAAAACGGTAGCAGGTATGAGCCATGATATTTTGAACGCAGTTGCAAAATTTCCTCGCAATTTTTCTCGGTAAAATTCAATTTTCCGAAGGATCAAGTCGCCAACGTCCCAGCTCTGCTTGCAATCGTAACGTTACATCCTCGTTTTAGCAAAAAAAAAACAATTAGGTTTTCAGTTACCGTATCATCGCTCTAGTCCTCATGTTGAAAACGGATCCGGGCACGAGGTACGGCAAGCTGCGTGCAATTACAGACGCACTTTCCTCCGCAAATTCAATTTCCTACAGGATTAAGTTGCCAAAACATCACAACTCTGCTTACACGAAGCGAACGCACGTAGTTAAGGTATCAATTAGATTGAAAAGAGGAGGTTTTCCTTCACCGTCACATTTCTGGAGCCTGTCCGTCATTGTGAAAACAGATCCGTACTTACCTTGCTGTGCTGAGCGGGCAGTGGCCGGTAGAATAGTGAGCGATATTGGATCAGTATATTCAACCGCCCATCCCCACCTGGGGTTTACGCAGATCCATCGGGACTCCCAAAAATCAATAAGAGAAACGGCTCGTGCTACCAATACCGGCACAGGTGAACCAATGCCGTGCATAAATACGGCGTAACATGTTACAATATGCGGAAGCGCAGACATTAACGTATCCATAAACTCACTTAAATGTTCCTTTTGAGGTCGCGGCCTAAAGTGGTCTGCAAATGGCCTGACCGACTTGCACATGAAAAGGGAGGCCCCATTAAAGCAATGGCAACTGTAAAAAACAACCACAAATGCACGTCAATATTTGTGATATTAATCACAGACCAGTTGCAGCGCCCGTCCAGCCCTGCCACTCACCCTGGGAATCGATGGCGTCTGAAATTGTTTTCTAATGCTGCATCAATAATTCAACCGGCCATCCTCGGCATCTAAAACCGAGAATCTTACTAACAAAAACAAGGAAATTCTCAAGAAATACCAGAGGAGCTCCGTCCTTTTGAAAAAAGAGGCGTCGTCTATTTTAAGTCAGGAAGTAGGGCATCTTTTGTAAAAGGATTCTGGCTGCATTGTGTCTATCAAAAGCATGAATGCCCAGGATTGGGCGGCTGAATAG